TCCTGAAGGTTATACCCGGGTATTAGATTTTAAGGCTAGGGTAAGGTTTAAGTTTTTTGGCGTTAGGGTTAAAATCACTGTCCAAAACCTTTGTAGGAACTCTTTTCCAACCTTTTGGAGTTAGTTAGACCAAAAAGTATGAAAAAAGAAAAAAATATTATTGGGGGTTTTCGGGCTCCCTGAAAGTAATACCCGGGTATTAGGTTTTGGGGCTATGGTAAGGTTTAAGTTTTTTGGCGTTAGGGTTAAAATCACTGTCCAAAACCTTTGTAGGAACTCTTTTCCAACCTTTTGGAGTTAGTTAGACCAAAAAATATGAAAAAAGAAAAAAATATTATTGGGGGTTTTCGGGCTTCCTGAAGGTAATACCCAGGTATTAGGTTTTGGGACTGGGGAAAGGTTTAAGGTTTTTGGCGTTAGGGTTAAAATCACTGTCCAAAACCTTTGTAGGAACTCTTTTCCAACCTTTTGGAGTTAGTTTGACCAAAAAAAAAAGAAAAATGAAAAAAAAATATTTGGGGAGTTCAGGCTTCCTAAAAGTAATACCCAGGTATTAGGTTTTGTGGCTAGGGTAAGGTTTAAGTTTTTTGGCATAAGGGTTAAAATCCCTGTCCAAAACCTTTGTAGGAACTCTTTTCCAACCTTTTGGAATTAGATAAACCAAAAAAATATGAAAAATGAAAAAATATATATTTGGGGTTTTCGGGCTTCCTGAATGTAATACCCGGGTATTAGGTTTTGGGGCTATGGTAAGGTTTAAGTTTTTTGGCGTTAGGGTTAAAATCACTGTCCAAAACCTTTGTAGGAACTCTTTTCCAACCTTTTGGAGTTGGTTACACCAACAAAAATGTAAAATGAAGAAAAAAATATTTGGGGTGTTCAGGCTTCCTGAAGGTAATACCCGGGTATTAGATTTCAAGGCTAGGGTAAGGTTTAAGGTTTTTGGCGTTAGGGTTAAAATCACTGTCCAAAACCTTTGTAGGAACTCTTTTCCAACCTTTTGGAGTTAGTTAGACCAAAAAAAAAAAGAAAAATGAAAAAAAAATATTTTGGGTGTTCAGGCTTCCTAAAAGTAATACCCTGGTATTAGGTTATGGGGCTATGGTAAGGTTTAAGGTTTTTGGCGTTAGGGTTGAAATCACTGTCCAAAACCTTTGTAGGAACTCTTTTTCAACCTTTTGGAGTTAGTTAGACCAAAAAAAAATGAAAAATGAAGAAAAAAATATTTGGGGTGTTCAGGCTTCCTAGAAGTAATACCCGGGTATAAGATTATGGGGCTATGGTAAGGTTTAAGGATTTTGGCATTAGGGTTAAAATCACTGTCCAAAACCTTTGCAGGAACTCTTTTCCAACCTTTTGGAGTTGGTTACACCAACAAAAATGTAAAATGAAAAAAATATATATTTTGGTTGTTCGGGGTTCCTAAAAGTAATACCGGGGTAATAGGTTATGGGGCTATGGTAATGTTTAAGGTTTTTGGCGTTAGGGTTAAAATCACTGTCCAAAACCTTTGTAGGAACTCTTTTTCAACCTTTTGGAGTTAGTTAGACCAAAAAGTATGAAAAAAGAAAAAAATATTATTGGGGGTTTTCGGGCTCCCTGAAAGTAATACCCGGGTATTAGGTTTTGGGGCTATGGTAAGGTTTAAGTTTTTTGGCGTTAGGGTTAAAATCACTGTCCAAAACCTTTGTAGGAACTCTTTTCCAACCTTTTGGAGTTAGTTAGACCAAAAAAAAATGAAAAATTAAAAAACAATATTTGGGGTTTTCGGGGTTCCTGAATGTAATACCCGGGTATTAGATTTTAAGGCTGGGGTAAGGTTTAAGGTTTTTGGCGTTAGGGTTAAAATCACTGTCCAAAACCTTTGTAGGAACTCTTTTCCAACCTTTTGGAGTTAGTTAGACCAAAAAATATGAAAAAAGAAAAAAATATTATTGGGGGTTTTCGGGCTCCCTGAAAGTAATACCCAGGTATTAGGTTTTGGGACTGGGGAAAGGTTTAAGGGTTTTGGCGTTAGGGTTAAAATCACTGTCCAAAACCTTTGTAGGAACTCTTTTCCAACCTTTTGGAGTTAGTTAGACCAAAAAAAAATGAAAAATTAAAAAAAATATATTTGGGGTGTTCAGGCTTCCTAAAAGTAATACCCGGGTATTAGGTTATGGGGCTATGGTAAGGTTTAAGGTTTTTGGCGTTAGGGTTAAAATCACTGTCCAAAACCTTTGTAGGAACTCTTTTTCAACCTTTTAGAGTTAGTTAGACCAAAAAAAAAATGAAAAATGAAAAAAAAAATATTTGGGGTTTACGGGCTTCCTGAATGTAATACCCGGGTATTAGATTTTAAGGCCAGGGAAAGGTTTAAGTTTTTTGGCGTTAGGGTTAAAATCACTGTCCAAAACCTTTGTAGGAACTCTTTTCCAACCTTTTGGAGTTAGTTAGACCAAAAAAAAAAAGAAAAATGAAAAAAAAATATTTGGGGTGTTCAGGCTTCCTAAAAGTAATACCCGGGTATTAGGTCATGGGGCTATGGTAAGGTTTAAGGTTTTTGGCGTTAGGGTTAAAATCACTGTCCAAAACCTTTGTAGGAACTCTTTTTCAACCTTTTGGAGTTAGTTAGACCAAAAAAAAAAAGAAAAATGAAAAAAAAAATATTTGGGGTTTACGGGCTTCCTGAATGTAATACCCGGGTATTAGGTTATGGGGCTATGGTAAGGTTTAAGGTTTTTGGCGTTAGGGTTGAAATCACTGTCCAAAACCTTTGTAGGAACTCTTTTTCAACCTTTTGGAGTTAGTTAGACCAAAAAAAAAATGAAAAATTAAAAAAAAAATATTTGGGGTTTACGGGCTTCCTGAATGTAATACCCGGGTATTAGATTTTAAGGCCAGGGTAAGGTTTAAGTTTTTTGGCGTTAGGGTTAAAATCACTGTCCAAAACCTTTGTAGGAACTCTTTTCCAACCTTTTGGAGTTAGTTACACCAAAAAAAATGTAAAATGAAAAAAAAAAATATTTGGGGTGTTCGGGCTTTCTGAATGTAATACCCGGGTATTAGATTTTAAGGCCAGGGTAAGGTTTAAGTTTTTTGGCATAAGGGTTAAAATCACTGTCCAAAACCTTTGTAGGAACACTTTTCCAACCTTTTGGAGTTAGTTAGACCAAAAAATATGAAAAAAAGAAAAATATTATTGGGGGTGTTCGGGCTTCCTAAAAGTAATACCCGGGTATTAGGTTATGGGGCTATGGTAAGGTTTAACGTTTTGGCGTTAGGTTTAAAATCACTGTCCAAAACCTTTGTAGGAACACTTTTCCAACCTTTTGGAGTTGGTTAGACCAAAAAAAAAAGAAAAATGAAAAAAAAATATTTGGGGTGTTCAGGCTTCCTAAAAGTAATACCCAGGTATTAGGTTATGGGGCTATGGTAAGGTTTAAGTTTTTTGGCGTTAGGGTTAAAATCACTGTCCAAAACCTTTGTAGGAACTCTTTTCCAACCTTTTGGAGTTAGTTAGACCAAAAAAAAATGAAAAATTAAAAAACAATATTTGGGGTTTTTGGGGTTCCTGAATGTAATACCCGGGTATTAGATTTTGAGGCTAGGGTAAGGTTTAAGTTTTTTGGCATTAGGGTTAAAATCACTGTCCAAAACCTTTGTAGGAACTCTGTTCCAACCTTTTGGAGTTGGTTACACCAACAAAAATGTAAAATGAAGAAAAAAATATTTGGGGTGTTCAGGCTTCCTGAAGGTAATACCCGGGTATTAGATTTCAAGGCTAGGGTAAGGTTTAAGGTTTTTGGCGTTAGGGTTAAAATCACTGTCCAAAACCTTTGTAGGAACTCTTTTCCAACCTTTTGGAGTTAGTTAGACCAAAAAATATGAAAAAAGAAAAAAATATTATTGGGGGTTTTCGGGCTCCCTGAAAGTAATACCCGTGTATTAGGTTTTGGGACTAGGGAAAGGTTTAAGGGTTTTGGCGTTAGGGTTAAAATCACTGTCCAAAACCTTTGTAGGAACTCTTTTCCAACCTTTTGGAGTTAGTTAGACCAAAAAATATGAAAAAAAGAAAAATATTATTGGGGGTGTTCAGGCTTCCTAAAAGTAATACCCGGGTATTAGGTTATGGGGCTATGGTAAGGTTTAACGTTTTGGCGTTAGGTTTAAAATCACTGTCCAAAACCTTTGTAGGAACTCTTTAACAACCTTTTGGATTTAGTTAGACCAAAAAAAAATGAAAAATTAAAAAAAATATATTTGGGGTGTTCAGGCTTCCTAAAAGTAATACCCGGGTATTAGGTTATGGGGCCATGGTAAGGTTTAAGGTTTTGGCGTTAGGTTTAAAATCACTGTCAAAAACCTTTGTAGGAACTCTTTTCCAACCTTTTGGAGTAAGTTAGACCAAAAAAAGAATGAAAAATGAAAACAAAAATATTTGGGGTTTCCGGGCTTCCTGAAGGTAATACAAGGGTATTATGTTATGGGGCTAGAGTAAGGTTTAAGTTTTTTGGCGTTAGGGTTAAAATCACTGTCCAAAAACTTTGTAGGAACTCCTTTCAAACCTTTTGGAGTTAGTTAGACCAAAGAAAATGTAAAATGAAGAAAAAAATATTTGGGGTGTTCAGGCTTCCTAGAAGTAATACCCGGGTATAAGATTATGGGGCTATGGTAAGGTTTAAGGTTTTTGGCATTAGGGTTAAAATCACTGTCCAAAACCTTTGCAGGAACTCTTTTCCAACCTTTTGGAGTTGGTTACACCAACAAAAATGTAAAATGAAAAAAAAATATATTTTGGTTGTTCGGGCTTCCTAAAAGTAATACCCGGGTAATAGGTTATGGGGCTATGGTAAGGTTTAAGGTTTTTGGCGTTAGGGTTAAAATCACTGTCCAAAACCTTTGTAGGAACTCTTTTTCAACCTTTTGGAGTTAGTTAGACCAAAAAATATGAAAAAAGAAAAAAATATTATTGGGGGTTTTCGGGCTCCCTGAAAGTAATACCCGGGTATTAGGTTTTGGGGCTATGGTAAGGTTTAGGTTTTTTGGCGTTAGGGTTAAAATCACTTTCCAAAACCTTTGTAGGAACTCTTTTCCAACCTTTTGGAGTTAGTTAGACCAAAAAAAAATGAAAAATTAAAAAACAATATTTGGGGTTTTCGGGGTTCCTGAATGTAATACCCGGGTATTAGATTTTAAGGCTAGGGTAAGGTTTAAGGTTTTTGGCGTTAGGGTTAAAATCACTGTCCAAAACCTTTGTAGGAACTCTTTTCCAACCTTTTGGAGTTAGTTAGACCAAAAAAAAAAAAGAAAAATGAAAAAAAAATATTTTGGGTGTTCAGGCTTCCTAAAAGTAATACCCGGGTATTAGGTTATGGGGCTATGGTAAGGTTTAAGGTTTTTGGCGTTAGGGTTGAAATCACTGTCCAAAACCTTTGTAGGAACTCTTTTTCAACCTTTTGGAGTTAGTTAGACCAAAAAAAAAATGAAAAATGAAAAAAAAAATATTTGGGGTTTACGGGCTTCCTGAATGTAATACCCGGGTATTAGATTTTAAGGCCAGGGTAAGGTTTAAGTTTTTTGGCGTTAGGGTTAAAATCACTGTCCAAAACCTTTGTAGGAACTCTTTTCCAACCTTTTGGAGTTAGTTAGACCAAAAAAAAAAGAAAAATTAAAAAACAATATTTGGGGTTTTCGGGGTTCCTGAATGTAATACCCGGGTATTAGATTTTAAGGCTAGGGTAAGGTTTAAGGTATTTGGCGTTAGGGTTAAAATCACTGTCCAAAACCTTTGTAGGAACTCTTTTCCAACCTTTTGGAGTTAGTTAGACCAAAAAATATGAAAAAAGAAAAAAATATTATTGGGGGTTTTCGGGCTCCCTGAAAGTAATACCCGGGTATTAGGTTTTGGGGCTATGGTAAGGTTTAAGTTTTTTGGCGTTAGGGTTAAAATCACTGTCCAAAACCTTTGTAGGAACTCTTTTCCAACCTTTTGGAGTTAGTTAGACCAAAAAAAAATTAAAAATTAAAAAACAATATTTGGGGTTTTCGGGGTTCCTGAATGTAATACCCGGGTATTAGATTTTAAGGCTAGGGTAAGGTTTAAGGTTTTTGGCGTTAGGGTTAAAATCACTGTCCAAAACCTTTGTAGGAACTCTTTTCCAACCTTTTGGAGTTAGTTAGACCAAAAAAAAAAAGAAAAATGAAAAAAAAATATTTGGGGTGTTCAGGCTTCCTAAAAGTAATACCCGGGTATTAGGTTATGGGGCTATGGTAAGGTTTAAGGTTTTTGGCGTTAGGGTTAAAATCACTGTCCAAAACCTTTGTAGGAACTCTTTTCCAACCTTTTGGAGTTAGTTAGACCAAAAAATATGAAAAAAGAAAAAAATATTATTGGGGGTTTTTGGGCTCCCTGAAAGTAATACCCATGTATCAGGTTTTGGGACTAGGGAAAGGTTTAAGGGTTTTGGCATTAGGGTTAAAATCACTGTCCAAAACCTTTGTAGGAACTCTTTTCCAACCTTTTGGAGTTAGTTAGACCAAAAAAAAAAGAAAAATGAAAAAAAAATATTTGGGGTGTTCAGGCTTCCTAAAAGTAATACCCGGGTATTAGGTTATGGGGCTATGGTAAGGTTTAACGTTTTTGCGTTAGGTTTAAAATCACTGTCCAAAACCTTTGTAGGAACTCTTTAACAACCTTTTGGATTTAGTTAGACCAAAAAAAATGAAAAATTAAAAAAAATATATTTGGGGTGTTCAGGCTTCCTAAAAGTAATGCCCGGGTATTAGGTCATGGGGCTATGGTAAGGTTTAAGGTTTTTGGCGTTAGGGTTAAAATCACTGTCCAAAACCTTTGTAGGAACTCTTTTCCAACCTTTTGGAGTTAGTTAGACCAAAAAGTATGAAAAAAGAAAAAAATATTATTGGGGGTTTTCGGGCTTCCTGAAAGTAATACCCGGGTATTAGGTTTTGGGGCTATGGTAAGGTTTAAGTTTTTTGGCGTTAGGGTTAAAATCACTGTCCAAAACCTTTGTAGGAACTCTTTTCCAACCTTTTGGAGTAAGTTAGACCAAAAAATATGAAAAAAGAAAAAAATATTATTGGGGGTGTTCAGGCTTCCTAAAAGTAATACCCGGGTATTAGGTTATGGGGCTATGGTAAGGTTTAACGTTTTGGCGTTACGTTTAAAATCACTGTCCAAAACCTTTGTAGGAACTCTTTTTCAACCTTTTGGAGTTAGTTAGACCAAAAAAAAATGAAAAATGAAAAAATATATATTTGGGGTTTACGGGCTTCTTGAATGTAATACCCGGGTATTAGATTTTAAGGCCAGGGAAAGGTTTCAGTTTTTTGGCGTTAGGGTTAAAATCACTGTCCAAAACCTTTGTAGGAACTCTTTTCCAACCTTTTGGAGTTAGTTAGACCAAAAAATATGAAAAAAGAAAAAAATATTATTGGGGGTTTTCGGGCTCCCTGAAAGTAATACCCGGGTATTAGGTTTTGGGGCTATGGTAAGGTTTAAGTTTTTTGGCGTTAGGGTTAAAATCACTGTCCAAAACCTTTGTAGGAACTCTTTTCCAACCTTTTGGAGTTAGTTAGACCAAAAAATATGAAAAAGAAAAAAATATTATTGGGGGTTTTCGGGCTCCCTGAAAGTAATACCCGGGTATTAGGTTTTGGGGCTATGGTAAGGTTTAAGTTTTTTGGCGTTAGGGTTAAAATCACTGTCCAAAACCTTTGTAGGAACTCTTTTCCAACCTTTTGGAGTTAGTTAGACCAAAAAAAAAAGAAAAATGAAAAAAAAATATTTGGGGTGTTCAGGCTTCCTAAAAGTAATACCCGGGTATTAGGTTATGGGGCTATGGTAAGGTTTAAGTTTTTGGCGTTAGGGTTAAAATCACTGTCCAAAACCTTTGTAGGAACTCTTTTCCAACCTTTTGGAGTTAGTTAGACCAAAAAAAAATGAAAAATGAAAAAAAATATATTTGGGGTGTTCAGGCTTCCTAAAAGTAATACCCGGGTATTAGGTTATGGGGCTATGGTAAGGTTTAAGGTTTTTGGCGTTAGGGTTAAAATCACTGTCCAAAACCTTTGTAGGAACTCTTTTCCAACCTTTTGGAGTTAGTTAGACCAAAAAAAAAATGAAAAATGAAAAAAAAAATATTTGGGGTATACGGGCTTCCTGAATGTAATACCCGGGTATTAGATTTTAAGGCCAGGGAAAGGTTTAAGTTATTTGGCGTTAGGGTTAAAATCACTGTCCAAAACCTTTGTAGGAACTCTTTTCCAACCTTTTGGAGTTAGTTAGACCAAAAAATATGAAAAAAGAAAAAAATATTATTGGGGTTTTCGGGCTCCCTGAAAGTAATACCCGGGTATTAGGTTTTGGGGCTATGGTAAGGTTTAAGTTTTTTGGCGTTAGGGTTAAAATCACTGTCCAAAACCTTTGTAGGAACTCTTTTCCAACCTTTTGGAGTTAGTTAGACCAAAAAATATGAAAAAAGAAAAAAATATTATTGGGGGTTTTCGGGCTCCCTGAAAGTAATACCCGGGTATTAGGTTTTGGGGCTATGGTAAGGTTTAAGTTTTTTGGCGTTAGGGTTAAAATCACTGTCCAAAACCTTTGTAGGAACTCTTTTCCAACCTTTTGGAGTTAGTTAGACCAAAAAAATGAAAAAAGAAAAAAATATTATTGGGGGTTTTCGGGCTCCCTGAAAGTAATACCCGGGTATTAGGTTTTGGGGCTATGGTAAGGTTTAAGTTTTTTGGCGTTAGGGTTAAAATCACTGTCCAAAACCTTTGTAGGAACTCTTTTCCAACCTTTTGGAGTTAGTTAGACCAAAAAAAAAAGAAAAATGAAAAAAAAATATTTGGGGTGTTCAGGCTTCCTAAAAGTAATACCCGGGTATTAGGTTATGGGGCTATGGTAAGGTTTAACGTTTTGGCGTTAGGGTTAAAATCACTGTCCAAAACCTTTGTAGGAACTCTTTTCCAAAGTTTTGGAGTCGGTTAGACAAAAAATAAATGTAAAATGAAAAAAATATATATTTGGGGTTTTCAGGCTTCCTAAAAGTAATACCCGGGTATTAGGTTATGGGGCTATGGTAAGGTTTAAGGTTTTTGGCGTTAGGGTTAAAATCACTGTCCAAAACCTTTGTAGGAACTCTTTTCCAACCTTTTGGAGTTAGTTAGACCAAAAAAAGAATGAAAAATGAAAAAAAAATATTTGGGGTTTCCGGGCTTCCTGAAGGTAATACAAGGGTATTATGTTATGGGGCTAGAGTAAGGTTTAAGTTTTTTGGCGTTAGGGTTAAAATCACTGTCCAAAACCTTTGTAGGAACTCTTTTCCAACCTTTTGGAGTTAGTTAGACCAAAAAAAATGTAAAATGAAGAAAAAAATATTTGGGGTGTTCAGGCTTCCTAGAAGTAATACCCGGGTATAAGATTATGGGGCTATGGTAAGGTTTAAGGTTTTTGGCATTAGGGTTAAAATCACTGTCCAAAACCTTTGTAGGAACTCTTTTCCAACCTTTTGGAGTTAGTTAGACCAAAAAAAAAATGTAAAATGAAAAAAATATATATTTTGGTTGTTCGGGCTTCCTAAAAGTAATACCCGGGTAATAGGTTATGGGGCTATGGTAAGGTTTAAGGTTTTTGGCGTTAGGGTTAAAATCACTGTCCAAAACCTTTGTAGGAACTCTTTTCCAACCTTTTGGAGTTAGTTAGACCAAAAAATATGAAAAAAGAAAAAAATATTATTGGGGGTTTTCGGGCTACCTGAAAGTAATACCCGGGTATTAGGTTTTGGGGCTATGGTAAGGTTTAAGTTTTTTGGCGTTAGGGTTAAAATCACTGTCCAAAACCTTTGTAGGAACTCTTTTCCAACCTTTTGGAGTTAGTTAGACCAAAAAAAAATGAAAAATTAAAAAACAATATTTGGGGTTTTCGGGGTTCCTGAATGTAATACCCGGGTATTAGATTTTAAGGCTAGGGTAAGGTTTAAGGTTTTTGGCGTTAGGGTTAAAATCACTGTCCAAAACCTTTGTAGGAACTCTTTTCCAACCTTTTGGAGTTAGTTAGACCAAAAAATATGAAAAAAAAAAAAAATATTATTGGGGGTTTTCGGGCTCCTGAAAGTAATACCCGGGTATTAGGTTTTGGGGCTATGGTAAGGTTTAAGTTTTTTGGCGTTAGGGTTAAAATCACTGTCCAAAACCTTTGTAGGAACTCTTTTCCAACCTTTTGGAGTTAGTTAGACCAAAAAATATGAAAAAAGAAAAAAATATTATTGGGGGTTTTCGGGCTCCCTGAAAGTAATACCCGGGTATTAGGTTTTGGGGCTATGGTAAGGTTTAAGTTTTTTGGCATTAGGGTTAAAATCACTGTCCAAAACCTTTGTAGGAACTCTTTTCCAACCTTTTGGAGTTAGTTAGACCAAAAAAAAATTAAAAATTAAAAAACAATATTTGGGGTTTTCGGGGTTCCTGAATGTAATACCCGGGTATTAGATTTTGGGGCTAGGGTAAGGTTTAAGGTTTTTGGCGTTAGGGTTAAAATCACTGTCCAAAACCTTTGTAGGAACTCTTTTCCAACCTTTTGGAGTTAGTTAGACCAAAAAAAAAAAAGAAAAATGAAAAAAAAATATTTGGGGTGTTCAGGCTTCCTGAAAGTAATACCCGGGTATTAGGTTATGGGGCTATGGTAAGGTTTAAGGTTTTTGGCGTTAGGGTTAAAATCACTGTCCAAAACCTTTGTAGGAACTCTTTTTCAACCTTTTGGAGTTAGTTAGACCAAAAAAAAATGAAAAATGAAAAAATATATATTTGGGGTTTACGGGCTTCTTGAATGTAATACCCGGGTATTAGATTTTAAGGCCAGGGAAAGGTTTAAGTTTTTTGGCGTTAGGGTTAAAATCACTGTCCAAAACCTTTGTAGGAACTCTTTTCCAACCTTTTGGAGTTAGTTAGACCAAAAAATATGAAAAAAGAAAAAAATATTATTGGGGGTTTTCGGGCTCCCTGAAAGTAATACCCGGGTATTAGGTTTTGGGGCTATGGTAAGGTTTAAGGTTTTTGGCGTTAGGGTTAAAATCACTGTCCAAAACCTTTGTAGGAACTCTTTTCCAACCTTTTGGAGTTAGTTAGACCAAAAAAAAAAAGAAAAATGAAAAAAAAATATTTGGGGTGTTCAGGCTTCCTAAAAGTAATACCCGGGTATTAGGTTATGGGGCTATGGTAAGGTTTAAGTTTTTTGGCGTTAGGGTTAAAATCACTGTCCAAAACCTTTGTAGGAACTCTTTTCCAACCTTTTGGAGTTAGTTAGACCAAAAAAAAATGAAAAATGAAAAAAAATATATTTGGGGTGTTCAGGCTTCCTAAAAGTAATACCCGGGTATTAGGTTATGGGGCTATGGTAAGGTTTAAGGTTTTTGGCGTTAGGGTTAAAATCACTGTCCAAAACCTTTGTAGGAACTCTTTTCCAACCTTTTGGAGTTAGTTAGACCAAAAAAAAAATGAAAAATGAAAAAAAAATATTTGGGGTATACGGGCTTCCTGAATGTAATACCCGGGTATTAGATTTTAAGGCCAGGGAAAGGTTTAAGTTTTTTGGCGTTAGGGTTAAAATCACTGTCCAAAACCTTTGTAGGAACTCTTTTCCAACCTTTTGGAGTTAGTTAGACCAAAAAATATGAAAAAAGAAAAAAATATTATTGGGGGTTTTCGGGCTCCCTGAAAGTAATACCCGGGTATTAGGTTTTGGGGCTATGGTAAGGTTTAAGTTTTTTGGCGTTAGGGTTAAAATCACTGTCCAAAACCTTTGTAGGAACTCTTTTCCAACCTTTTGGAGTTAGTTAGACCAAAAAAAAATTAAAAATTAAAAAACAATATTTGGGGTTTTCGGGGTTCCTGAATGTAATACCCGGGTATTAGATTTTAAGGCTAGGGTAAGGTTTAAGGTTTTTGGCGTTAGGGTTAAAATCACTGTCCAAAACCTTTGTAGGAACTCTTTTCCAACCTTTTGGAGTTAGTTAGACCAAAAAAAAAAAAAAGAAAAATGAAAAAAAAATATTTTGGGTGTTCAGGCTTCCTAAAAGTAATACCCTGGTATTAGGTTATGGGGCTATGGTAAGGTTTAAGGTTTTTGGCGTTAGGGTTGAAATCACTGTCCAAAACCTTTGTAGGAACTCTTTTCCAACCTTTTGGAGTTAGTTAGACCAAAAAAAAAAAAAAAATGAAAAAAAAAAATATTTGGGGTTTACGGGGTTCCTGAATGTAATACCCGGGTATTAGATTTTAAGGCTAGGGTAAGGTTTAAGGTTTTTGGCGTTAGGGTTAAAATCACTGTCCAAAACCTTTGTAGGAACTCTTTTCCAACCTTTTGGAGTTAGTTAGACCAAAAAATATGAAAAAAGAAAAAAATATTATTGGGGGTTTTCGGGCTTCCTGAAAGTAATACCCGGGTATTAGGTTTTGGGGCTATGGTAAGGTTTAAGTTTTTTGGCGTTAGGGTTAAAATCACTGTCCAAAACCTTTGTAGGAACTCTTTTCCAACCTTTTGGAGTTAGTTAGACCAAAAAAAAATTAAAAATTAAAAAACAATATTTGGGGTTTTCGGGGTTCCTGAATGTAATACCCGGGTATTAGATTTTAAGGCTAGGGTAAGGTTTAAGTTTTTTGGCGTTAGGGTTAAAATCACTGTCCAAAACCTTTGTAGGAACTCTTTTCCAACCTTTTGGAGTTAGTTAGACCAAAAAAAAAAAGAAAAATGAAAAAAAAATATTTGGGGTGTTCAGGCTTCCTAAAAGTAATACCTGGGTATTAGGTTATGGGGCTATGGTAAGGTTTAAGGTTTTTGGCGTTAGGGTTAAAATCACTGTCCAAAACCTTTGTAGGAACTCTTTTCCAACCTTTTGGAGTTAGTTAGACCAAAAAAAAATGAAAAATGAAAAAATATATATTTGGGGTTTACGGGCTTCCTGAATGTAATACCCGGGTATTAGATTTTAAGGCCAGGGAAAGGTTTAAGTTTTTTGGCGTTAGGGTTAAAATCACTGTCCAAAACCTTTGTAGGAACTCTTTTCCAACCTTTTGGAGTTAGTTAGACCAAAAAATATGAAAAAAGAAAAAAATATTATTGGGGTTTTCGGGCTCCCTGAAAGTAATACCCGGGTATTAGGTTTTGGGGCTATGGTAAGGTTTAAGTTTTTTGGCGTTAGGGTTAAAATCACTGTCCAAAACCTTTGTAGGAACTCTTTTCCAACCTTTTGGAGTTAGTTAGACCAAAAAAAAAAGAAAAATGAAAAAAAAATATTTGGGGTGTTCAGGCTTCCTGAAAGTAATACCCGGGTATTAGGTTATGGGGCTATGGTAAGGTTTAAGTTTTTTGGCGTTAGGGTTAAAATCACTGTCCAAAACCTTTGTAGGAACTCTTTTCCAACCTTTTGGAGTTAGTTAGACCAAAAAGTATGAAAAAAGAAAAAAATATTATTGGGGGTTTTCGGGCTCCCTGAAAGTAATACCCGGGTATTAGGTTTTGGGGCTATGGTAAGGTTTAAGTTTTTTGGCGTTAGGGTTAAAATCACTGTCCAAAACCTTTGTAGGAACTCTTTTCCAACCTTTTGGAGTTAGTTAGACCAAAAAAAAAGAAAAATGAAAAAAAAATATTTGGGGTGTTCAGGCTTCCTAAAAGTAATACCCGGGTATTAGGTTATGGGGCTATGGTAAGGTTTAAGTTTTTTGGCGTTAGGGTTAAAATCACTGTCCAAAACCTTTGTAGGAACTCTTTTCCAACCTTTTGGAGTTAGTTAGACCAAAAAAAATGAAAAATGAAAAAAAAATATTTGGGGTGTTCAGGCTTCCTGAAAGTAATACCCGGGTATTAGGTTATGGGGCTATGGTAAGGTTTAAGGTTTTGGCGTTAGGGTTAAAATCACTGTCCAAAACCTTTGTAGGAACTCTTTTCCAACCTTTTGGAGTTAGTTAGACCAAAAAAAGAATGAAAAATGAAAAAAAAATATTTGGGGTTTCCAGGCTGCCTGAGGGTAATACCTGGGTAGTGGATTTTATGGGGCTAGGGTAAGGTTTAAGTTTTTGGCGTTAGGGTTAAAATCACTGTCCAAAACCTTTGTAGGAACTCTTTTCCAACCTTTTGGAGTTAGTTAGACCAAAAAATATGAAAAAAGAAAAAAATATTATTGGGGGTTTTCGGGCTCCCTGAAAGTAATACCCGGGTATTAGGTTTTGGGGCTATGGTAAGGTTTAAGTTTTTTGGCGTTAGGGTTAAAATCACTGTCCAAAACCTTTGTAGGAACTCTTTTCCAACCTTTTGGAGTTAGTTAGACCAAAAAAAAATGAAAAATTAAAAAACAATATTTGGGGTTTTCGGGGTTCCTGAATGTAATACCCGGGTATTAGATTTTAAGGCTAGGGTAAGGTTTAAGGTTTTTGGCGTTAGGGTTAAAATCACTGTCCAAAACCTTTGTAGGAACTCTTTTCCAACCTTTTGGAGTTAGTTAGACCAAAAAATATGAAAAAAGAAAAAAAATATTTGGGGTTTTCGGGCTTCCTGAAAGTAATACCCGGGTATTATGTTTTGGGGCTATGGTAATGTTTAAGGTTTTTGGCGTTAGGTTTAAAATCACTGTCCAAAACCTTTGTAGGAACTCTTTTTCAACCTTTTGGAGTTAGTTAGACCAAAAAATATGAAAAAAGAAAAAAATATTATTGGGGGTTTTCGGGCTTCCTGAAAGTAATACCCGGGTATTAGGTTTTGGGGCTATGGTAAGGTTTAAGTTTTTTGGCGTTAGGGTTAAAATCACTGTCCAAAACCTTTGTAGGAACTCTTTTCCAACCTTTTGGAGTTAGTTAGACCAAAAAAAAATGAAAAATTAAAAAACAATATTTGGGGTTTTCGGGGTTCCTGAATGTAATACCCGGGTATTAGGTTTTGGGGCTAGGGTAAGGTTTAAGTTTTTTGGCGTTAGGGTTAAAATCACTGTCCAAAACCTTTGTAGGAACTCTTTTCCAACCTTTTGGAGTTAGTTAGACCAAAAAATATGAAAAAAGAAAAAAATATATTGGGGTTTTCGGGCTTCCTGAAAGTAATACCCGGGTATTAGGTTTTGGGGCTATGGTAAGGTTTAAGTTTTTTGGCGTTAGGGTTAAAATCACTGTCCAAAACCTTTGTAGGAACTCTTTTCCAACCTTTTGGAGTTAGTTAGACCAAAAAAAAATGAAAAATGAAAAAAAACATATTTGGGGTTTTCGGGCTTCCTGGAAGTAATACCCGGGTATTAGATTTTAAGGCTAGGGTAAGGTTTAAGGTTTTTGGCGTTAGGGTTAAAATCACTGTCCAAAACCTTTGTAGGAACTCTTTTCCAACCTTTTGGAGTTAGTTAGACCAAAAAAAAAAGAAAAATGAAAAAAAAATATTTTGGGTGTTCAGGCTTCCTAAAAGTAATACCCGGGTATTAGGTTATGGGGCTATGGTAAGGTTTAAGGTTTTGGCGTTAGGTTTAAAATCACTGTCCAAAACCTTTGTAGGAACTCTTTTCCAACCTTTTGGAGTTAGTTAGACCAAAAAAAAATGAAAAATGAAAAAAAAAAATATTTGGGGTTTACGGGCTTCCTGAATGTAATACCCGGGTATTAGATTTTAAGGCCAGGGTAAGGTTTAAGTTTTTTGGCGTTAGGGTTAAAATCACTGTCCAAAACCTTTGTAGGAACTCTTTTCCAACCTTTTGGAGTTAGTTAGACCAAAAAAAAAAAGAAAAATTAAAAAACAATATTTGGGGTTTTCGGGGTTCCTGAATGTAATACCCGGGTATTAGGTTATGGGGCTATGGTAAGGTTTAAGGTTTTTGGCGTTAGGGTTAAAATCACTGTCCAAAACCTTTGTAGGAACTCTTTTCCAACCTTTTGGAGTTAGTTAGACCAAAAAAAAAAGAAAAATGAAAAAAAAATATTTGGGGTGTTCAGGCTTCCTAAAAGTAATACCCGGGTATTAGGTTATGGGGCTATGGTAAGGTTTAAGGTTTTTGGCGTTAGGGTTAAAATCACTGTCCAAAACCTTTGTAGGAACTCTTTTTCAACCTTTTGGAGTTAGTTAGACCAAAAAAAAAATGAAAAATGAAAAAATATATATTTGGGGTTTACGGGCTTCCTGAATGTAATACCCGGGTATTAGATTTTAAGGCCAGGGAAAGGTTTAAGTTTTTTGGCGTTAGGGTTAAAATCACTGTCCAAAACCTTTGTAGGAACTCTTTTCCAACCTTTTGGAGTTAGTTAGACCAAAAAATATGAAAAAAGAAAAAAATATTATTGGGGGTTTTCGGGCTCCCTGAAAGTAATACCCGGGTATTAGGTTTTGGGGCTATGGTAAGGTTTAAGTTTTTTGGCGTTAGGGTTAAAATCACTGTCCAAAACCTTTGTAGGAACTCTTTTCCAACCTTTTGGAGTTAGTTAGACCAAAAAAAAATGAAAAATTAAAAAAAAATATTTGGGGTTTTCGGGCTTCCTGAATGTAATACCCGGGTATTAGATTTTAAGGCTAGGGTAAGGTTTAAGGTTTTTGGCGTTAGGGTTAAAATCACTGTCCAAAACCTTTGTTAGGAACTCTTTTCCAACCTTTTGGAGTTAGTTAGACCAAAAAAAAAAAGAAAAATGAAAAAAAAATATTTGGGTGTTCAGGCTTCCTAAAAGTAATACCCGGGTATTAGGTTATGGGGCTATGGTAAGGTTTAACGTTTTGGCGTTAGGTTTAAAATCACTGTCCAAAACCTTTGTAGGAACTCTTTTCCAACCTTTTGGAGTTGGTTACACCAACAAAAATGTAAAATGAAAAAAAAATATTTGGGGTGTTCAGGCTTCCTAAAAGTAATACCCGGGTATTAGGTTATGGGGCTATGGTAAGGTTTAACGTTTTGGCGTTAGGTTTAAAATCACTGTCCAAAACCTTTGTAGGAACTCTTTTCCAACCTTTTGGAGTTAGTTAGACCAAAAAAAGAATGAAAAATGAAAAAAAAATATTTGGGGTTTCCGGGCTTCCTGAAGGTAATACAAGGGTATTATGTTATGGGGCTAGAGTAAGGTTTAAGTTTTTTGGCGTTAGGGTTAAAATCACTGTCCAAAACCTTTGTAGGAACTCTTTTCCAACCTTTTGGAGTTAGTTAGACCAAAAAAAAATGAAAAATGAAAAAAAAATATTTTGGGTGTTCAGGCTTCCTAGAAGTAATACCCGGGTATAAGATTATGGGGCTATGGTAAGGTTTAAGGTTTTTGGCATTAGGGTTAAAATCACTGTCCAAAACCTTTGCAGGAACTCTTTTCCAACCTTTTGGAGTTGGTTACACCAACAAAAATGTAAAATGAAAAAAATATATATTTTGGTTGTTCGGGCTTCCTGAAAGTAATACCCGGGTAATAGGTTATGGGGCTATGTTAAGGTTTAAGTTTTTTGGCGTTAGGGTTAAAATCACTGTCCAAAACCTTTGTAGGAACTCTTTTCCAACCTTTTGGAGTTAGTTAGACCAAAAAAAAAATGAAAAATGAAAAAAAAAATATTTGGGGTTTACGGGCTTCCTGAAAGTAATACCCGGGTATTAGATTTTAAGGCCAGGGTAAGGTTTAAGTTTTTTGGCGTTAGGGTTAAAATCACTGTCCAAAACCTTTGTAGGAACTCTTTTCCAACCTTTTGGAGTTAGTTAGACCAAAAAATATGAAAAAAGAAAAAAATATTATTGGGGGTTTTCGGGCTCCCTGAAAGTAATACCCGGGTATTAGGTTTTGGGGCTATGGTAAGGTTTAAGTTTTTTGGCGTTAGGGTTAAAATCACTGTCCAAAACCTTTGTAGGAACTCTTTTCCAACCTTTTGGAGTTAGTTAGACCAAAAAATATGAAAAAAGAAAAAAAATATTATTGGGGGTTTTCGGGCTCCTGAAAGTAATACCCGGGAATTAGGTTTTGGGGCTATGGTAAGGTTTAAGTTTTTTGGCGTTAGGGTTAAAATCACTGTCCAAAACCTTTGTAGGAACTCTTTTCCAACCTTTTGGAGTTAGTTAGACCAAAAAAAAAGAAAAATGAAAAAAAAATATTTGGGGTGTTCAGGCTTCCTAAAAGTAATACCCGGGTATTAGGTTATGGGGCTATGGTAAGGTTTAAGTTTTTGGCGTTAGGGTTAAAATCACTGTCCAAAACCTTTGTAGGAACACTTTTCCAACCTTTTGGAGTTGGTTAGACCAAAAAAAAATGAAAAATGAAAAAATAGTATTTGGGGTGTTCAGGCTTCCTAAAAGTAATACCCGGGTATTAGGTTATGGGGCTATGGTAAGGTTTAAGGTTTTTGGCGTTAGGGTTAAAATCACTGTCCAAAACCTTTGTAGGAACTCTTTTCCAACCTTTTGGAGTTAGTTAGACCAAAAAAAAAATGAAAAATGAAAAAAAAAATATTTGGGGTTTACGGGCTTCCTGAATGTAATACCCGGGTATTAGATTTTAAGGCCAGGGAAAGGTTTAAGTTTTTTGGCGTTAGGGTTAAAATCACTGTCCAAAACCTTTGTAGGAACTCTTTTCCAACCTTTTGGAGTTAGTTAGACCAAAAAATATGAAAAAAGAAAAAAATATTATTGGGGGTTTTCGGGCTTCCTGAAAGTAATACCCGGGTATTAGGTTTTGGGGCTATGGTAAGGTTTAAGTTTTTTGGCGTTAGGGTTAAAATCACTGTCCAAAACCTTTGTAGGAACTCTTTTCCAACCTTTTGGAGTTAGTTAGACCAAAAAATATGAAAAAAGAAAAAAATATTTGGGGGTTTTCGGGCTTCCTGAAAGTAATACCCGGGTATTAGGTTTTGGGGCTAGGGTAAGGTTTAAGTTTTTTGGCGTTAGGGTTAAAATCACTGTCCAAAACCTTTGTAGGAACTCTTTTCCAACCTTTTGGAGTTAGTTAGACCAAAAAGTATGAAAAAAGAAAAAAATATTATTGGGGGTTTTCGGGCTCCCTGAAAGTAATACCCGGGTATTAGGTTTTGGGGCTATGGTAAGGTTTAAGTTTTTTGGCGTTAGGGTTAAAATCACTGTCCAAAACCTTTGTAGGAACTCTTTTCCAACCTTTTGGAGTTAGTTAGACCAAAAAAAAAAGAAAAATGAAAAAAAAATATTTTGGGTGTTCAGGCTTCCTGAAAGTAATACCCGGGTATTAGGTTATGGGGCTATGGTAAGGTTTAAGGTTTTTGGCGTTAGGGTTAAAATCACTGTCCAAAACCTTTGTAGGAACTCTTTTTCAACCTTTTGGAGTTAGTTAGACCAAAAAAAAATGAAAAATGAAAAAAAAAATATTTGGGGTTTACGGGCTTCCTGAATGTAATACCCGGGTATTAGATTTTAAGGCCAGGGTAAGGTTTAAGTTTTTTGGCGTTAGGGTTAAAATCACTGTCCAAAACCTTTGTAGGAACTCTTTTCCAAACTTTTGGAGTTAGACCAAAAAAAAAGAAAAATGAAAAAACAATATTTGGGGAGTTCAGGCTTCCTAAAAGTAATACCCGGGTATTAGGTTTTGGGGCTATGGTAAGGTTTAAGGTTTTTGGCGTTAGGGTTAAAATCACTGTCCAAAACCTTTGTAGGAACTCTTTTCCAACCTTTTGGAGTTGGTTACACCAAAAAAAATGTAAAATGAAAAAAAAAATATTTGGGGTGTTCGGGCTTCCTGAATGTAATACCCGGGTATTAGATTTTAAGGCCAGGGTAAGGTTTAAGTTTTTTTGGCATTAGGTTTAAAATCACTGTCCTATACCTTTGTAGGAACTCTTTTCCAACCTTTTGGAGTTAGTTAGACCAAAAAAAAAAAAGAAAAATGAAAAAAAAATATTTGGGGTGTTCAGGCTTCCTGAAAGTAATACCCGGGTATTAGGTTATGGGGCTATGGTAAGGTTTAAGTTTTTTGGCGTTAGGGTTAAAATCACTGTCCAAAACCTTTGTAGGAACTCTTTTCCAACCTTTTGGAGTTAGTTAGACCAAAAAAAAATGAAAAATTAAAAAACAATATTTGGGGTTTTCGGGGTTCCTGAATGTAATACCCGGGTATTAGGTTTTTGGGGCAAGGGTAAGGTTTAAGGTTTTTTGGCGTTAGGGTTAAAATCACTGTCCAAAACCTTTGTAGGAACTCTTTTCCAACCTTTTGGAGTTGGTTACACCAACAAAAATGTAAAATGAAGAAAAAAATATTTGGGGTGTTCGGGCTTCCTGAAGGTAATACCCGGGTATTAGATTTCAAGGCTAGGGTAAGGTTTAAGGTTTTTGGCGTTAGGGTTAAAATCACTGTCCAAAACCTTTGTAGGAACTCTTTTCCAACCTTTTGGAGTTAGTTAGACCAAAAAATATGAAAAAAGAAAAAAATATTATTGGGGGTTTTCGGGCTCCCTGAAAGTAATACCCGGGTATTAGGTTTTGGGACTAGGGAAAGGTTTAAGGTTTTTGGCGTTAGGGTTAAAATCACTGTCCAAAACCTTTGTAGGAACTCTTTTCCAACCTTTTGGAGTTAGTTAGACCAAAAAAAAATGAAAAATTAAAAAAAATATATTTGGGGTGTTCAGGCTTCCTAAAAGTAATACCCGGGTATTAGGTTATGGGGCTATGGTAAGGTTTAAGGTTTTTGGCGTTAGGGTTAAAATCACTGTCCAAAACCTTTGTAGGAACTCTTTTTCAACCTTTTAGAGTTAGTTAGACAAAAAAAAAAATGAAAAATGAAAAAAAAATTATTTGGGGTTCACGGGCTTCCTGAATGTAATACCCGGGTATTAGATTTTAAGGCCAGGGAAAGGTTTAAGTTTTTTGGCGTTAGGGTTAAAATCACTGTCCAAAACCTTTGTAGGAACTCTTTTCCAACCTTTTGGAGTTAGTTAGACCAAAAAATATGAAAAAAGAAAAAAATATTATTGGGGGTGTTCAGGCTTCCTAAAAGTAATACCCGGGTATTAGGTTATGGGGCTATGGTAAGGTTTAACGTTTTGGCGTTAGGGTTAAAATCACTGTCCAAAACCTTTGTAGGAACTCTTTTCCAACCTTTTGGAGTTAGTTAGACCAAAAAAAAAATGAAAAATGAAAAAATATATATTTGGGGTGTTCAGGCTTCCTAAAAGTAATACCCGGGTATTAGGTTATGGGGCTATGGTAAGGTTTAAGGTTTTTGGCGTTAGGGTTAAAATCACTGTCCAAAACCTTTGTAGGAACTCTTTTCCAACCTTTTGGAGTTAGTTAGACCAAAAAAAAAAAAGAAAAATGAAAAAAAAAATATTTGGGGTTTTCGGGCTTCCTGAAGGTAATACCCGGGTATTAGATTTTAAGGCTAGGGTAAGGTTTAAGTTTTTTGGCGTTAGGGTTAAAATCACTGTCCAAAACCTTTGTAGGAACTCTTTTCCAACCTTTTGGAGTTAGTTAGACCAAAAAAAAATGAAAATGAAAAGAAAAAAAAAATATTTGGGGTTTCCGGGCTTCCTGAAGGTAATACAAGGGTATTATGTTATGGGGCTAGAGTAAGGTTCAAGTTTTTTGGCGTTAGGGTTAAAATCACTGTCCAAAACCTTTGTAGGAACTTCTTTCAAACCTTTTGGAGTTAGTTAGACCAAAGAAAATGTAAAATGAAGAAAAAAATATTTGGGGTGTTCAGGCTTCCTAGAAGTAATACCCGGGTATAAGATTATGGGGCTATGGTAAGGTTTAAGGTTTTTGGTATTAGGGTTAAAATCACTGTCCAAAACCTTTGTAGGAACTCTTTTCCAACCTTTTGGAGTTGGTTACACCAACAAAAATGTAAAATGAAAACAGATATATATGGGGTTTTCGGGCTTCCTGAAGGGAATACCCGGGTATTAGGTTATGGGGCTATGGTAAGGTTTAAGGTTTTTGGCATTAGGGTTAAAATCACTGTCCAAAACCTTTGCAGGAACTCTTTTCCAACCTTTTGGAGTTGGTTACACCAACAAAAATGTAAAATAAAAAAAATATATATTTTGGTTGTTCGGGCTTCCTAAAAGTAATACCCGGGTAATAGGTTATGGGGCTATGGTAAGGTTTAAGGTTTTTGGCATTAGGGTTAAAATCACTGTCCAAAACCTTTGTAGGAACTCTTTTTCAACCTTTTGGAGTTAGTTAGACCAAAAAAAAAATGAAAAATGAAAAAAAAAATATTTGGGGTTTACGGGCTTCCTGAATGTAATACCCGGGTATTAGATTTTAAGGCCAGGGAAAGGTTTAAGTTTTTTTGCGTTAGGGTTAAAATCACTGTCCAAAACCTTTGTAGGAACTCTTTTCCAACCTTTTGGAGTTAGTTAGACCAAAAAATATGAAAAAAGAAAAAAATATTATTGGGGGTTTTTGGGCTCCCTGAAAGTAATACCCGGGTATTAGGTTTTGGGGCTAGGGAAAGGTTTAAGTTTTTTGGCGTTAGGGTTAAAATCACTGTCCAAAACCTTTGTAGGAACTCTTTTCCAACCTTTTGGAGTTAGTTAGACCAAAAAAAAAAGAAAAATGAAAAAAAAATATTTGGGGTGTTCAGGCTTCCTAAAAGTAATACCCGGGTATTAGGTTATGGGGCTATGGTAAGGTTTAAGTTTTTTGGCGTTAGGGTTAAAATCACTGTCCAAAACCTTTGTAGGAACTCTTTAACAACCTTTTGGATTTAGTTAGACCAAAAAAAATGAAAAATTAAAAAAAATATATTTGGGGTGTTCAGGCTTCCTAAAAGTAATACCCGGGTATTAGGTCATGGGGCTATGGTAAGGTTTAAGGTTTTTGGCGTTAGGGTTAAAATCACTGTCCAAAACCTTTGTAGGAACTCTTTTCCAACCTTTTGGAGTTAGTTAGACCAAAAAAAAAATATGAAAAATGAAAAAAAAATATTTGGGGTTTACGGGCTTCCTGAATGTAATACCCGGGTATTAGATTTTAAGGCCAGGGAAAGGTTTAAGTTTTTTGGCGTTAGGGTTAAAATCACTGTCCAAAACCTTTGTAGGAACTCTTTTCCAACCTTTTGGAGTTAGTTAGACCAAAAATTATGAAAAAAGAAAAAAATATTATTGGGGGTTTTCGGGCTCCCTGAAAGTAATACCCGGGTATTAGGTTTTGGGGCTATGGTAAGGTTTAAGTTTTTTGGCGTTAGGGTTAAAATCACTGTCCAAAACCTTTGTAGGAACTCTTTTCCAACCTTTTGGAGTTAGTTAGACCAAAAAATATGAAAAAAGAAAAAAATATTATTGGGGGTTTTCGGGCTTCCTGAATGTAATACCCGGGTATTAGGTTTTGGGGCTATGGTAAGGTTTAAGTTTTTTGGCGTTAGGGTTAAAATCACTGTCCAAAACCTTTGTAGGAACTCTTTAACAACCTTTTGGAGTTAGTTAGACCAAAAAAAATGAAAAATTAAAAAAAATATATTTGGGGTGTTCGGGCTTCCTAAAAGTAATACCCGGGTATTAGGTTTTAAGGCTAGGGTAAGGTTTAAGTTTTTTGGCGTTAGGGTTAAAATCACTGTCCAAAACCTTTGTAGGAACTCTTTTCCAACCTTTTGGAGTTAGTTAGACCAAAAAAAAAGAAAAATGAAAAAACAATATTTGGGGTTTTCGGGGTTCCTGAATGTAATACCCGGGTATTAGATTTTAAGGCTAGGGTAAGGTTTAAGTTTTTTGGCGTTAGGGTTAAAATCACTGTCCAAAACCTTTGTAGGAACTCTTTTCCAACCTTTTGGAGTTAGTTAGACCAAAAAGTATGAAAAAAGAAAAAAATATTATTGGGGGTTTTCGGGCTCCCTGAAAGTAATACCCGGGTATTAGGTTATGGGGCTATGGTAAGGTTTAAGTTTTTTGGCGTTAGGGTTAAAATCACTGTCCAAAACCTTTGTAGGAACTCTTTTCCAACCTTTTGGAGTTAGTTAGACCAAAAAAAAAAGAAAAATGAAAAAAAATATTTGGGGTGTTCAGGCTTCCTGAAAGTAATACCCGGGTATTAGGTTATGGGGCTATGGTAAGGTTTAAGTTTTTTGGCGTTAGGGTTAAAATCACTGTCCAAAACCTTTGTAGGAACTCTTTTCCAACCTTTTGGAGTTAGTTAGACCAAAAAAATATGAAAAAAGAAAAAAATATTATTGGGGGTTTTCGGGCTCCCTGAAAGTAATACCCGGGTATTAGGTTTTGGGGCTATGGTAAGGTTTAAGTTTTTTGGCGTTAGGGTTAAAATCACTGTCCAAAACCTTTGTAGGAACTCTTTTCCAACCTTTTGGAGTTAGTTAGACCAAAAAAAAAAGAAAAATGAAAAAAAAATATTTGGGGTGTTCAGGCTTCCTAAAAGTAATACCTGGGTATTAGGTTATGGGGCTATGGTAAGGTTTAAGGTTTTTGGCGTTAGGGTTAAAATCACTGTCCAAAACCTTTGTAGGAACTCTTTTCCAACCTTTTGGAGTTAGTTAGACCAAAAAAAAATGAAAAATGAAAAAAAAAATATTTGGGGTTTACCGGGCTCCCTGATTGTAATACCCGGGTATTAGATTTTAAGGCCAGGGAAAGGTTTAAGTTTTTTGGCGTTAGGGTTAAAATCACTGTCCAAAACCTTTGTAGGAACTCTTTTCCAACCTTTTGGAGTTGGTTACACCAACAAAAATGTAAAATGAAAAAAATATTTGGGGTGTTCGGGCTTCCTGAAGGTAATACCCGGGTATTAGATTTTAAGGCTAGGGTAAGGTTTAAGTTTTTTGGCGTTAGGGTTAAAATCACTGTCCAAAACCTTTGTAGGAACTCTTTTCCAACCTTTTGGAGTTAGTTACACCAACAAAAATGTAAAATGAAAAAAATATATTTGGGGTTTTCAGGCTTCCTGAAGGTTAATACCCGGGTATTAGATTTTAAGGCTAGGGTAAGGTTTAAGTTTTTTGGCGTTAGGGTTAAAATCACTGTCCAAAACCTTTGTAGGAACTCTTTTCCAACCTTTTGGAGTTAGTTAGACCAAAAAAAAATGAAAAATTAAAAAACAATATTTGGGGTTTTCGGGGTTCCTGAATGTAATACCCGGGTATTAGATTTTGAGGCTAGGGTAAGGTTTAAGGTTTTTGGCGTTAGGGTTAAAATCACTGTCCAAAACCTTTGTAGGAACTCTTTTCCAACCTTTTGGAGTTAGTTAGACCAAAAAATATGAAAAAAGAAAAAAATATTATTGGGGGTTTTCGGGCTCCCTGAAAGTAATACCCATGTATTAGGTTTTGGGACTAGGGAAAGGTTTAAGGGTTTTGGCGTTAGGGTTAAAATCACTGTCCAAAACCTTTGTAGGAACTCTTTTCCAACCTTTTGGAGTTAGTTTGACCAAAAAAAAAAGAAAAATGAAAAAAAAATATTTGGGGAGTTCAGGCTTCCTAAAAGTAATACCCAGGTATTAGGTTTTGTGGCTAGGGTAAGGTTTAAGTTTTTTGGCATAAGGGTTAAAATCACTGTCCAAAACCTTTGTTGGAACTCTTTTCCAACCTTTTGGAGTTAGTTAGACCAAAAAAATATGAAAAATGAAAAAAATATATTTGGGGTTTTCTGGCTTCCTGAATGTAATACCCGGGTATTAGATTTTTTGGCTAGGGTAAGGTTTAAGTTTTTTGGCGTTAGGGTTAAAATCACTGTCCAAAACCTTTGTAGGAACTCTTTTCCAACCTTTTGGAGTTAGTTAAACCAAAAAAAAAAATGAAAAATGAAAAAATATATATTTGGGTGTTTCGGGCTTCCTGAATGTAATACCCGGGTATTAGATTTTAAGGCTAGGGTAAGGTTTAAGGTTTTTGGCGTTAGGGTTAAAATCACTGTCCAAAACCTTTGTAGGAACTCTTTTCCAACCTTTTGGAGTTAGTTAGACCAAAAAAAATGAAAAATGAAAAAAAAAATATTTGGGGTGTTCGGGCTTCCTGAAGGTAATACCCGGGTATTAGATTTTAAGGCTAGGGTAAGGTTTAAGGTTTTTGGCGTTAGGGTTAAAATCACTGTCCAAAACCTTTGTAGGAACTCTTTTCCAACCTTTTGGAGTTAGTTAGACCAAAAAAAAAAGAAAAATGAAAAAAAAATATTTTGGGTGTTCAGGCTTCCTAAAAGTAATACCCGGGTATTAGGTTATGGGGCTATGGTAAGGTTTAAGGTTTTTGGCGTTAGGGTTAAAATCACTGTCCAAAACCTTTGTAGGAACTCTTTTCCAACCTTTTGGAGTTAGTTAGACCAAAAAAAAATGAAAAATGAAGAAAAAAATATTTGGGGTGTTCAGGCTTCCTAAAAGTAATACCCGGGTATTAGGTTATGGGGCTATGGTAAGGTTTAAGGTTTTTGGCGTTAGGGTTAAAATCACTGTCCAAAACCTTTGTAGGAACTCTTTTCCAACCTTTTGGAGTTGGTTACACCAACAAAAATGTAAAATGAAAAAAAAATATATTTTGGTTGTTCGGGCTTCCTAAAAGTAATACCCGGGTAATAGGTTATGGGGCTATGGTAAGGTTTAAGGTTTTTGGCGTTAGGGTTAAAATCACTGTCCAAAACCTTTGTAGGAACTCTTTTTCAACCTTTTGGAGTTAGTTAGACCAAAAAATATGAAAAAAGAAAAAAAAATTATTTGGGGTTTACGGGCTTCCTGAATGTAATACCCGGGTATTAGATTTTAAGGCCAGGGAAAGGTTTAAGTTTTTTGGCGTTAGGGTTAAAATCACTGTCCAAAACCTTTGTAGGAACTCTTTTCCAACCTTTTGGAGTTAGTTAGACCAAAAAGTATGAAAAAAGAAAAAAATATTATTGGGGGTTTTCGGGCTCCCTGAAAGTAATACCCGGGTATTAGGTTTTGGGGCTATGGTAAGGTTTAAGTTTTTTGGCGTTAGGGTTAAAATCACTGTCCAAAACCTTTGTAGGAACTCTTTTCCAACCTTTTGGAGTTAGTTAGACCAAAAAATATGAAAAAAGAAAAAAATATTATTGGGGGTTTTCGGGCTTCCTGAATGTAATACCCGGGTATTAGGTTTTGGGGCTATGGTAAGGTTTAAGTTTTTTGGCGTAAGGTTTAACGTTTTGGCGTTAGGTTTAAAATCACTGTCCAAAACCTTTGTAGGAACTCTTTAACAACCTTTTGGATTTAGTTAGACCAAAAAAAATGAAAAATTAAAAAAAATATATTTGGGGTGTTCAGGCTTCCTAAAAGTAATGCCCGGGTATTAGGTTTTAAGGCTAGGGTAAGGTTTAAGTTTTTTGGCATTAGGGTTAAAATCACTGTCCAAAACCTTTGTAGGAACTCTTTTCCAACCTTTTGGAGTTAGTTAGACCAAAAAAAAAGAAAAATGAAAAAACAATATTTGGGGTTTTCGGGGTTCCTGAATGTAATACCCGGGTATTAGATTTTAAGGCTAGGGTAAGGTTTAAGTTTTTTGGCATTAGGGTTAAAATCACTGTCCAAAACCTTTGTAGGAACTCTTTTCCAACCTTTTGGAGTTAGTTAGACCAAAAAATATGAAAAAAGAAAAAAATATTATTGGGGGTTTTCGGGCTCCCTGAAAGTAATACCCGGGTATTAGGTTATGGGGCTATGGTAAGGTTTAAGTTTTTTGGCGTTAGGGTTAAAATCACTGTCCAAAACCTTTGTAGGAACTCTTTTCCAACCTTTTGGAGTTAGTTAGACCAAAAAAAAAGAAAAATGAAAAAAAAATATTTGGGGTGTTCAGGCTTCCTGAATGTAATACCCGGGTATTAGGTTATTGGGCTATGGTAAGGTTTAACGTTTTGGCGTTAGGTTTAAAATCACTGTCCAAAACCTTTGTAGGAACTCTTTTCCAACCTTTTGGAGTTAGTTAGACCAAAAAATATGAAAAAAGAAAAAAATATTATTGGGGGTTTTCGGGCTCCCTGAAAGTAATACCCGGGTATTAGGTTTTGGGGCTATGGTAAGGTTTAAGTTTTTTGGCGTTAGGGTTAAAATCACTGTCCAAAACCTTTGTAGGAACTCTTTTCCAACCTTTTGGAGTTAGTTAGACCAAAAAAAAAGAAAAATGAAAAAAAAATATTTGGGGTGTTCAGGCTTCCTAAAAGTAATACCCGGGTATTAGGTTATGGGGCTATGGTAAGGTTTAAGGTTTTTGGCGTTAGGGTTAAAATCACTGTCCAAAACCTTTGTAGGAACTCTTTTCCAACCTTTTGGAGTTAGTTAGACCAAAAAAAAAATGAAAAATGAAAAAAAAAATATTTGGGGTTTACCGGGCTCCCTGATTGTAATACCCGGGTATTAGATTTTAAGGCCAGGGAAAGGTTTAAGTTTTTTGGCGTTAGGGTTAAAATCACTGTCCAAAACCTTTGTAGGAACTCTTTTTCAACCTTTTGGAGTTAGTTACACCAACAAAAATGTAAAATGAACAAAAAAATATTTGGGGTGTTCGGGCTTCCTGAAGGTAATACCCGGGTATTAGATTTTAAGGCTAGGGTAAGGTTTAAGTTTTTTGGCGTTAGGGTTAAAATCACTGTCCAAAACCTTTGTAGGAACTCTTTTCCAACCTTTTGGAGTTAGTTACACCAACAAAAATGAAAAATGAACAAAAATATATTTGGGGTTTTCAGGCTTCCTGAAGGTTAATACCCGGGTATTAGATTTTAAGGCTAGGGTAAGGTTTAAGTTTTTTGGCGTTAGGGTTAAAATCACTGTCCAAAACCTTTGTAGGAACTCTTTTCCAACCTTTTGGAGTTAGTTAGACCAAAAAAAATGAAAAATTAAAAAACAATATTTGGGGTTTTCGGGGTTCCTGAATGTAATACCCGGGTATTAGATTTTGAGGCTAGGGTAAGGTTTAAGGTTTTTGGCGTTAGGGTTAAAATCACTGTCCAAAACCTTTGTAGGAACTCTTTTCCAACCTTTTGGAGTTAGTTAGACCAAAAAATATGAAAAAAGAAAAAAATATTATTGGGGGTTTTCGGGCTCCCTGAAAGTAATACCCATGTATTAGGTTTTGGGACTAGGGAAAGGTTTAAGGGTTTTGGCGTTAGGGTTAAAATCACTGTCCAAAACCTTTGTAGGAACTCTTTTCCAACCTTTTGGAGTTAGTTTGACCAAAAAAAAAAGAAAAATGAAAAAAAAATATTTGGGGAGTTCAGGCTTCCTAAAAGTAATACCCAGGTATTAGGTTTTGTGGCTAGGGTAAGGTTTAAGTTTTTTGGCATAAGGGTTAAAATCCCTGTCCAAAACCTTTGTAGGAACTCTTTTCCAACCTTTTGGAATTAGATAAACCAAAAAAATATGAAAAATGAAAAAACATATATTTGGGGTTTTCGGGCTTCCTGAATGTAATACCCGGGTATTAGATTTTAAGGCTAGGGTAAGGTTTAAGTTTTTTGGCGATAGGGTTAAAATCACTGTCCAAAACCTTTGTAGGAACTCTTTTCCAACCTTTTGGAGTTAGTTAAACCAAAAAAAAAAAATGAAAAATGAAAAAATATATATTTGGGTGTTTCGGGCTTCCTGAATGTAATACCCGGGTATTAGATTTTAAGGCTAGGGTAAGGTTTAAGTTTTTTGGCGTTAGGGTTAAAATCACTGTCCAAAACCTTTGTAGGAACTCTTGTCCAACCTTTTGGAGTTGGTTACACCAACAAAAATGTAAAATGAAAAAAACATATTTGGGGTGTTCGGGCTTCCTGAAGGTAATACCCCGGTATTAGATTTTAAGGCTAGGGTAAGGTTTAAGGTTTTTGGCGTTAGGGTTAAAATCACTGTCCAAAACCTTTGTAGGAACTCTTTTCCAACCTTTTGGAGTTAGTTAGACCAAAAAAAAAAGAAAAATGAAAAAAAAATATTTTGGGTGTTCAGGCTTCCTAAAAGTAATACCCGGGTATTAGGTTATGGGGCTATGGTAAGGTTTAAGGTTTTTGGCGTTAGGGTTAAAATCACTGTCCAAAACCTTTGTAGGAACTCTTTTTCAACCTTTTGGAGTTAGTTAGACCAAAAAAAAATGAAAAATGAAGAAAAAAATATTTGGGGTGTTCAGGCTTCCTAGAAGTAATACCCGGGTAAAAGATTATGGGGCTATGGTAAGGTTTAAGGATTTTGGCATTAGGGTTAAAATCACTGTCCAAAACCTTTGCAGGAACTCTTTTCCAACCTTTTGGATTTGGCTACACCAACAAAAATGTAAAATGAAAAAAAAATATATTTTGGTTGTTCGGGCTTCCTAAAAGTAATACCGGGGTAATAGGTTATGGGGCTATGGTAATGTTGAAGGTTTTTGGCGTTAGGGTTAAAATCACTGTCCAAAACCTTTGTAGGAACTCTTTTTCAACCTTTTGGAGTTAGTTAGACCAAAAAGTATGAAAAAAGAAAAAAATATTATTGGGGTTTTCGGGCTCCCTGAAAGTAATACCCGGGTATTAGGTTTTGGGGCTATGGTAAGGTTTAAGTTTTTTGGCGTTAGGGTTAAAATCACTGTCCAAAACCTTTGTAGGAACTCTTTTCCAACCTTTTGGAGTTAGTTAGACCAAAAAAAAATGAAAAATTAAAAAACAATATTTGGGGTTTTCGGGGTTCCTGAATGTAATACCCGGGTATTAGATTTTAAGGCTGGGGTAAGGTTTAAGGTTTTTGGCGTTAGGTTTAAAATCACTGTCCAAAACCTTTGTAGGAACTCTTTTCCAACCTTTTGGAGTTAGTTAGACCAAAAAATATGAAAAAAGAAAAAAATATATTGGGGGTTTTCGGGCTTCCTGAAAGTAATACCCGGGTATTAGGTTTTGGGGCTATGGTAAGGTTTAAGTTTTTTGGCGTTAGGGTTAAAATCACTGTCCAAAACCTTTGTAGGAACTCTTTTCCAACCTTTTGGAGTTAGTTAGACCAAAAAAAATGTAAAATGAAGAAAAAAATATTTGGGGTGTTCAGGCTTCCTGAAGGTAATACCCGGGTATTAGATTTCAAGGCTAGGGTAAGGTTTAAGGTTTTTGGCGTTAGGGTTAAAATCACTGTCCAAAACCTTTGTAGGAACTCTTTTCCAACCTTTTGGAGTTAGTTAGACCAAAAAATATGAAAAAAGAAAAAAATATTATTGGGAGTTTTCGGGCTCCCTGAAAGTAATACCCGTGTATTAGGTTTTGGGACTAGGGAAAGGTTTAAGGGTTTTGGCGTTAGGGTTAAAATCACTGTCCAAAACCTTTGTAGGAACTCTTTTCCAACCTTTTGGAGTTAGTTAGACCAAAAAAAATGAAAAATTAAAAAAAATATATTTGGGGTGTTCAGGCTTCCTAAAAGTAATACCCGGGTATTAGGTTATGGGGCTATGGTAAGGTTTAAGGTTTTTGGCGTTAGGGTTAAAATCACTGTCCAAAACCTTTGTAGGAACTCTTTTCCAACCTTTTGGAGTTAGTTAGACCAAAAAATATGAAAAAAGAAAAAAATATTATTGGGGGTTTTCGGGCTCCCTGAAAGTAATACCCGGGTATTAGGTTTTGGGGCTATGGTAAGGTTTAAGTTTTTTGGCGTTAGGGTTAAAATCACTGTCCAAAACCTTTGTAGGAACTCTTTTCCAACCTTTTGGAGTTAGTTAGACCAAAAAAAAAAGAAAAATGAAAAAAAAATATTTGGGGTGTTCAGGCTTCCTGAATGTAATACCCGGGTATTAGATTTTAAGGCTATGGTAAGGTTTAAGTTTTTTGGCGTTAGGGTTAAAATCACTGTCCAAAACCTTTGTAGGAACTCTTTTCCAACCTTTTGGAGTTAGTTAGACCAAAAAAAAATGAAAAATGAAAAAAAAATATTTGGGGTTTTCGGGCTTCCTGAATGTAATACCCGGGTATTAGGTTATGGGGCTATGGTAAGGTTTAAGTTTTTTGGCGTTAGGATTAAAATCACTGTCCAAAACCTTTGTAGGAACTCTTTTCCAACCTTTTGGAGTTAGTTAGACCAAAAAAATGAAAAATGAAAAAAAAAATATTTGGGGTTTACGGGCTTCCTGATTGTAATACCCGGGTATTAGATTTTAAGGCTAGGGTAAGGTTTAAGTTTTTTGGCGTTAGGGTTAAAATCACTGTCCAAAACCTTTGTAGGAACTCTTTTCCAACCTTTTGGAGTTAGTTAGACCAAAAAAAAAAAAAAAAATGAAAAAAAAATATTTGGGGTGTTCAGGCTTCCTAAAAGTAATACCTGGGTATTAGGTTATAGGGCTATGGTAAGGTTTAAGGTTTTTGGCGTTAGGGTTAAAATCACTGTCCAAAACCTTTGTAGGAACTCTTTTCCAACCTTTTGGAGTTGGTTACACCAAAAAAAATGAAAAATGAAAAAGAAATATTTGGGGTGTTCGGGCTTCCTGAATGTAATACCCGGGTATTAGATTTTAAGGCTAGGGTAAGGTTTAAGTTTTTTGGCGTTAGGGTTAAAATCACTGTCCAAAACCTTTGTAGGAACTCTTTTCCAACCTTTTGGAGTTAGTTAGACCAAAAAAAAAAGAAAAATGAAAAAAAAATATTTGGGGTGTTCAGGCTTCCTAAAAGTAATACCCGGGTATTAGGTTATGGGGCTATGGTAAGGTTTAAGTTTTTTGGCGTTAGGGTTAAAATCACTGTCCAAAACCTTTGTAGGAACTCTTTTCCAACCTTTTGGAGTTAGTTAGACCAAAAAAAAATGAAAAATTAAAAAACAATATTTGGGGTTTTTGGGGTTCCTGAATGTAATACCCGGGTATTAGATTTTGAGGCTAGGGTAAGGTTTAAGTTTTTTGGCGTTAGGGTTAAAATCACTGTCCAAAACCTTTGTAGGAACTCTTTTCCAACCTTTTGGAGTTAGTTAGACCAAAAAAAAATGTAAAATGAAGAAAAAAATATTTGGGGTGTTCAGGCTTCCTGAAGGTAATTCCCGGGTATTAGTTTTGGGGCTAGGGTAAGGTTTAAGGTTTTTGGCGTTAGGGTTAAAATCACTGTCCAAAACCTTTGTAGGAACTCTTTTCCAACCTTTTGGAGTTAGTTAGACCAAAAAATATGAAAAAAGAAAAAAATATTATTGGGGGTTTTCGGGCTCCCTGAAAGTAATACCCGGGTATTAGGTTTTGGGGCTATGGTAAGGTTTAAGTTTTTTGGCGTTAGGGTTAAAATCACTGTCCAAAACCTTTGTAGGAACTCTTTTCCAACCTTTTGGAGTTAGTTAGACCAAAAATATGAAAAAAGAAAAAAATATTATTGGGGGTTTTCGGGCTCCCTGAAAGTAATACCCGGGTATTAGGTTTTGGGGCTATGGTAAGGTTTAAGTTTTTTGGCGTTAGGGTTAAAATCACTGTCCAAAACCTTTGTAGGAACTCTTTTCCAACCTTTTGGAGTTAGTTAGACCAAAAAAAAAAAGAAAAATGAAAAAAAAAATTTTTGGGGTGTTCAGGCTTCCTAAAAGTAATACCCGGGTATTAGGTTATGGGGCTATGGTAAGGTTTAACGTTTTGGCGTTAGGTTTAAAATCACTGTCCAAAACCTTTGTAGGAACTCTTTTCCAACCTTTTGGAGTTGGTTACACCAACAAAAATGTAAAATGAAAAAAATATATATTTGGGGTGTTCAGGCTTCCTAAAAGTAATACCCGGGTATTAGGTTATGGGGCCATGGTAAGGTTTAAGGTTTTGGCGTTAGGTTTAAAATCACTGTCCAAAACCTTTGTAGGAACTCTTTTCCAACCTTTTGGAGTTAGTTAGACCAAAAAAAGAATGAAAAATGAAAACAAAAATATTTGGGGTTTCCGGGCTTCCTGAAGGTAATACCCGGGTATTAGGTTATGGGGCTAGAGTAAGGTTTAAGTTTTTTGGCGTTAGGGTTAAAATCACTGTCCAAAAACTTTGTAGGAGCTCCTTTCAAACCTTTTGGAATTAGTTAGACCAAAGAAAATGTAAAATGAAGAAAAAAATATTTGGGGTGTTCAGGCTTCCTAGAAGTAATACCCGGGTATAAGATTATGGGGCTATGGTAAGGTTTAAGGTTTTTGGCATTAGGGTTAAAATCACTGTCCAAAACCTTTGTAGGAACTCTTTTCCAACCTTTTGGAGTTAGTTAGACCAAAAAAAAATGTAAAATGAAAAAAAAAAATATTTGGGGTGTTCGGGCTTCCTAAAAGTAATACCCGGGTATTAGGTTATGGGGCTATGGTAAGGTTTAAGGTTTTTGGCGTTAGGGTTAAAATCACTGTCCAAAACCTTTGTAGGAACTCTTTTCCAACCTTTTGGAGTTAGTTAGACCAAAAAATATGAAAAAAGAAAAAAATATTATTGGGGGTTTTCGGGCTCCCTGAAAGTAATACCCGGGTATTAGGTTTTGGGGCTATGGTAAGGTTTAAGTTTTTTGGCGTTAGGGTTAAAATCACTGTCCAAAACCTTTGTAGGAACTCTTTTCCAACCTTTTGGAGTTAGTTAGACCAAAAAAAAATGAAAAATTAAAAAACAATATTTGGGGTTTTCGGGGTTCCTGAATGTAATACCCGGGTATTAGATTTTAAGGCTAGGGTAAGGTTTAAGGTTTTTGGCGTTAGGGTTAAAATCACTGTCCAAAACCTTTGTAGGAACTCTTTTCCAACCTTTTGGAGTTAGTTAGACCAAAAAAAAATGAAAAATTAAAAAACAATATTTGGGGTTTTCGGGGTTCCTGAATGTAATACCCGGGTATTAGATTTTAAGGCTAGGGTAAGGTTTAAGGTTTTTGGCGTTAGGGTTAAAATCACTGTCCAAAACCTTTGTAGGAACTCTTTTCCAACCTTTTGGAGTTAGTTAGACCAAAAAAAAAAAGAAAAATGAAAAAAAAATATTTTGGGTGTTCAGGCTTCCTAAAAGTAATACCCTGGTATTAGGTTATGGGGCTATGGTAAGGTTTAAGGTTTTTTGGCGTTAGGGTTGAAATCACTGTCCAAAACCTTTGTAGGAACTCTTTTTCAACCTTTTGGAGTTAGTTAGACCAAAAAAAAATGAAAAATGAAGAAAAAAATATTTGGGGTGTTCAGGCTTCCTAGAAGTAATACCCGGGTATAAGATTATGGGGCTATGGTAAGGTTTAAGGTTTTTGGTATTAGGGTTAAAATCACTGTCCAAAACCTTTGTAGGAACTCTTTTCCAACCTTTTGGAGTTGGTTACACCAACAAAAATGTAAAATGAAAAAAATATATATTTTGGTTGTTCGGGCTTCCTAAAAGTAATACCCGGGTAATAGGTTATGGGGCTATGGTAAGGTTTAAGGTTTTTGGCGTTAGGGTTAAAATCACTGTCCAAAACCTTTGTAGGAACTCTTTTTCAACCTTTTGGAGTTAGTTAGACCAAAAAGTATGAAAAAAGAAAAAAATATTATTGGGGGTTTTCGGGCTCCCTGAAAGTAATACCCGGGTATTAGGTTTTGGGGCTATGGTAAGGTTTAAGTTTTTTGGCGTTAGGGTTAAAATCACTGTCCAAAACCTTTGTAGGAACTCTTTTCCAACCTTTTGGAGTTAGTTAGACCAAAAAAAAATGAAAAATGAAAAAAAAATGATTTGGGGTTTTCGGGGTCCCTGAAAGTAATACCCGGGTATTAGGTTTTAAGGCTAGGGTAAGGTTTAAGGTTTTTGGCGTTAGGGTTAAAATCACTGTCCAAAACCTTTGTAGGAACTCTTTTCCAACCTTTTGGAGTTAGTTAGACCAAAAAATATGAAAAAAGAAAAAAATATTATTGGGGGTTTTCGGGCTCCCTGAAAGTAATACCCGGGTATTAGGTTTTGGGGCTATGGTAAGGTTTAAGTTTTTTGGCGTTAGGGTTAAAATCACTGTCCAAAACCTTTGTAGGAACTCTTTTCCAACCTTTTGGAGTTAGTTAGACCAAAAAAAAATGAAAAATGAAAAAAAAAATATTTGGGGTTTTCGGGGTTCCTGAATGTAATACCCGGGTATTAGATTTTAAGGCTATGGTAAGGTTTAAGGTTTTTGGCGTTAGGGTTAAAATCACTGTCCAAAACCTTTGTAGGAACTCTTTTCCAACCTTTTGGAGTTAGTTAGACCAAAAAATATGAAAAAAGAAAAAAATATTATTGGGGGTTTTCGGGCTCCCTGAAAGTAATACCCGTGTATTAGGTTTTGGGACTAGGGAAAGGTTTAAGGGTTTTGGCGTTAGGGTTAAAATCACTGTCCAAAACCTTTGTAGGAACTCTTTTCCAACCTTTTGGAGTTAGTTAGACCAAAAAAAAATGAAAAATTAAAAAAAATATATTTGGGGTGTTCAGGCTTACTAAAAGTAATACCCGGGTATTAGGTTATGGGGCTATGGTAAGGTTTAAGGTTTTTGGCGTTAGGGTTAAAATCACTGTCCAAAACCTTTGTAGGAACTCTTTTCCAACCTTTTGGAGTTAGTTAGACCAAATAAAAAATAAAAAATGAAAAAAAAAATTATTTGGGGTTTACGGGCTTCCTGAATGTAATACCCGGGTATTAGATTTTAAGGCCAGGGAAAGGTTTAAGTTTTTTGGCGTTAGGGTTAAAATCACTGTCCAAAACCTTTGTAGGAACTCTTTTCCAACCTTTTGGAGTTAGTTAGACCAAAAAATATGAAAAAAGAAAAAAAAATATTGGGGGTTTTCGGGCTTCCTGAAAGTAATACCCGGGTATTAGGTTTTGGGGCTATGGTAAGGTTTAAGGTTTTTGGCATAAGGGTTAAAATCCCTGTCCAAAACCTTTGTAGGAACTCTTTTCCAACCTTTTGGAATTAGTTAAACCAAAAAAGAATGAAAAATGAAAAAAAATATTTGGGGTTTCCGGGCTTCCTGAATGTAATACCCGGGTATTAGATTTTAAGGCTAGGGTAAGGTTTAAGTTTTTTGGCGTTAGGGTTAAAATCACTGTCCAAAACCTTTGTAGGAACTCTTTTCCAACCTTTTGGAGTTAGTTAGACCAAAAAGTATGAAAAAAGAAAAAAATATTATTGGGGGTTTTCGGGCTCCCTGAAAGTAATACCCGGGTATTAGGTTTTGGGGCTATGGTAAGGTTTAAGTTTTTTGGCGTTAGGGTTAAAATCACTGTCCAAAACCTTTGTAGGAACTCTTTTCCAACCTTTTGGAGTTAGTTAGACCAAAAAATATGAAAAAAGAAAAAAATATTATTGGGGGTTTTCGGGCTCCCTGAAAGTAATACCCGGGTATTAGGTTTTGGGGCTATGGTAAGGTTTAAGTTTTTTGGCGTTAGGGTTAAAATCACTGTCCAAAACCTTTGTAGGAACTCTTTTCCAACCTTTTGGAGTTAGTTAGACCAAAAAAAAAAAGAAAAATGAAAAAACAATATTTGGGGTTTTCGGGGTTCCTGAATGTAATACCCGGGTATTAGGTTTTAAGGCTAGGGTAAGGTTTAAGTTTTTTGGCGTTAGGGTTAAAATCACTGTCCAAAACCTTTGTAGGAACTCTTTTCCAACCTTTTGGAGTTAGTTAGACCAAAAAAAAAATGAAAAATGAAAAAATAATATTTGGGGTTTTCGGGGTTCCTGAATGTAATACCCGGGTATTAGATTTTAAGGCTAGGGTAAGGTTTAAGTTTTTTGGCGTTAGGGTTAAAATCACTGTCCAAAACCTTTGTAGGAACTCTTTTCCAACCTTTTGGAGTTAGTTAGACCAAAAAGTATGAAAAAAGAAAAAAATATTATTGGGGGTTTTCGGGCTCCCTGAAAGTAATACCCGGGTATTAGGTTTTGGGGCTATGGTAAGGTTTAAGTTTTTTGGCGTTAGGGTTAAAATCACTGTCCAAAACCTTTGTAGGAACTCTTTTCCAACCTTTTGGAGTTAGTTAGACCAAAAAAAAAAAGAAAAATGAAAAAAAAATATTTGGGGTTTACGGGCTTCCTGATTGTAATACCCGGGTATTAGATTTTAAGGCCAGGGAAAGGTTTAAGTTTTTTGGCGTTAGGGTTAAAATCACTGTCCAAAACCTTTGTAGGAACTCTTTTCCAACCTTTTGGAGTTAGTTAGACCAAAAAAAAATGAAAAATGAAGAAAAAAATATTTGGGGTGTTCAGGCTTCCTGAAGGTAATACCCGGGTATTAGATTTCAAGGCTAGGGTAAGGTTTAAGGTTTTTGGCGTTAGGGTTAAAATCACTGTCCAAAACCTTTGTAGGAACTCTTTTCCAACCTTTTGGAGTTAGTTAGACCAAAAAAAAAAAGAAAAATGAAAAAAAAATATTTGGGGTGTTCAGGCTTCCTGAAAGTAATACCCGGGTATTAGGTTATGGGGCTATGGTAAGGTTTAACTTTTTGGCGTTAGGTTTAAAATCACTGTCCAAAACCTTTGTAGGAACTCTTTTTCAACCTTTTGGAGTTAGTTAGACCAAAAAAAAAAAAAGAAAAATGAAAAAAAAAATATTGGGGGTTTACGGGCTTCCTGAATGTAATACCCGGGTATTAGGTTATGGGGCTATGGTAAGGTTTAAGTTTTTTGGCGTTAGGGTTAAAATCACTGTCCAAAACCTTTGTAGGAACTCTTTTCCAACCTTTTGGAGTTAGTTAGACCAAAAAAAAAAAGAAAAATGAAAAAAAAATATTTGGGGTGTTCAGGCTTCCTAAAAGTAATACCCGGGTATTAGGTTATGGGGCTATGGTAAGGTTTAACTTTTTGGCGTTAGGGTTAAAATCACTGTCCAAAACCTTTGTAGGAACTCTTTTTCCAACCTTTTGGAGTTAGTTAGACCAAAAAATATGAAAAAAGAAAAAAATATTATTGGGGGTTTTCGGGCTTCCTGAAAGTAATACCCGGGTATTAGGTTTTGGGGCTATGGTAAGGTTTAAGTTTTTTGGCGTTAGGGTTAAAATCACTGTCCAAAACCTTTGTAGGAACTCTTTTCCAACCTTTTGGAGTTAGTTAGACCAAAAAAAAAAAAGAAAAATGAAAAAAAAATATTTGGGGTGTTCAGGCTTCCTAAAAGTAATACCCGGGTATTAGGTTATAGGGCTATGGTAAGGTTTAAGGTTTTTGGCGTTAGGGTTAAAATCACTGTCCAAAACCTTTGTAGGAACTCTTTTCCAACCTTTTGGAGTTGGTTACAACAAAAAAAATGTAAAATGAAAAAAAAAATATTTGGGGTGTTCGGGCTTCCTGAATGTAATACCCGGGTATTAGATTTTAAGGCTATGGTAAGGTTTAAGTTTTTTGGCGTTAGGGTTAAAATCACTGTCCAAAACCTTTGTAGGAACTCTTTTCCAACCTTTTGGAGTTAGTTAGACCAAAAAAAAAAGAAAAATGAAAAAAAAATATTTGGGGTGTTCAGGCTTCCTAAAAGTAATACCCAGGTATTAGGTTATGGGGCTATGGTAAGGTTTAAGTTTTTTGGCGTTAGGGTTAAAATCACTGTCCAAAACCTTTGTAGGAACTCTTTTTCAACCTTTTGGAGTTAGTTAGACCAAAAAAAAAATGAAAAATGAAAAAAAAAATATTTGGGGTTTACGGGCTTCCTGAATGTAATACCCGGGTATTAGATTTTAAGGCTAGGGAAAGGTTTAAGTTTTTTGGCGTTAGGGTTAAAATCACTGTCCAAAACCTTTGTAGGAACTCTTTTCCAACCTTTTGGAGTTAGTTAGACCAAAAAATATGAAAAAAGAAAAAAATATTATTGGGGGTTTTCGGGCTCCCTGAAAGTAATACCCGGGTATTAGGTTTTGGGGCTATGGTAAGGTTTAAGTTTTTTGGCGTTAGGGTTAAAATCACTGTCCAAAACCTTTGTAGGAACTCTTTTCCAACCTTTTGGAGTTAGTTAGACCAAAAAATATGAAAAAAGAAAAAAATATTATTGGGGGTGTTCAGGCTTCCTAAAAGTAATACCCGGGTATTAGGTTATGGGGCTATGGTAAGGTTTAACGTTTTGGCGTTAGGTTTAAAATCACTGTCCAAAACCTTTGTAGGAACTCTTTTCCAACCTTTTGGAGTTAGTTAGACCAAAAAAAAAAAGAAAAATTAAAAAAAATATATTTGGGGTGTTCAGGCTTCCTAAAAGTAATACCCGGGTATTAGGTTATGGGGCTATGGTAAGGTTTAAGGTTTTTGGCGTTAGGGTTAAAATCACTGTCCAAAACCTTTGTAGGAACTCTTTTTCAACCTTTTGGAGTTAGTTAGACCAAAAAAAAAATGAAAAATGAAAAATAAAATATTTGGGGTGTTCAGGCTTCCTGAAGGTAATACCCGGGTATTAGATTTCAAGGCTAGGGTAAGGTTTAAGTTTTTTGGCGTTAGGGTTAAAATCACTGTCCAAAACCTTTGTAGGAACTCTTTTCCAACCTTTTGGAGTTAGTTAGACCAAAAAATATGAAAAAGAAAAAAATATTATTGGGGGTTTTCGGGCTCCCTGAAAGTAATACCCGTGTATTAGGTTTTGGGACTAGGGAAAGGTTTAAGGGTTTTGGCGTTAGGGTTAAAATCACTGTCCAAAACCTTTGTAGGAACTCTTTTCCAACCTTTTGGAGTTAGTTAGACCAAAAAAAAATGAAAAATTAAAAAAAATATATTTGGGGTGTTCAGGCTTCCTAAAAGTAATACCCGGGTATTAGGTTATGGGGCTATGGTAAGGTTTAAGGTTTTTGGCGTTAGGGTTAAAATCACTGTCCAAAACCTTTGTAGGAACTCTTTTCCAACCTTTTGGAGTTAGTTAGACCAAAAAAAAATGAAAAATGAAAAAAAAAATTATTTGGGGTTTACGGGCTTCCTGAATGTAATACCCGGGTATTAGATTTTAAGGCCAGGGAAAGGTTTAAGTTTTTTGGCGTTAGGGTTAAAATCACTGTCCAAAACCTTTGTAGGAACTCTTTTCCAACCTTTTGGAGTTAGTTAGACCAAAAAATATGAAAAAAGAAAAAAATATTATTGGGGGTGTTCAGGCTTCCTAAAAGTAATACCCGGGTATTAGGTTATGGGGCTATGGTAAGGTTTAAGGTTTTTGGCGTTAGGTTTAAAATCACTGTCCAAAACCTTTGTAGGAACTCTTTTCCAACCTTTTGGAGTTAGTTAGACCAAAAAAAAAATGAAAAATTAAAAAAAATATATTTGGGGTGTTCAGGCTTCCTAAAAGTAATACCCGGGTATTAGGTTATGGGGCTATGGTAAGGTTTAAGGTTTTTGGCGTTAGGGTTAAAATCACTGTCCAAAACCTTTGTAGGAACTCTTTTTCAACCTTTTGGAGTTAGTTAGACCAAAAAAAAAATGAAAAATGAAAAAAAAAATATTTGGGGTTTACGGGCTTCGTGAATGTAATACCCGGGTATTAGATTTTATGCCAGGGAAAGGTTTAAGTTTTTTGGCGTTAGGGTTAAAATCACTGTCCAAATCCTTTGTAGGAACTCTTTTCCAACCTTTTGGAGTTAGTTAGACCAAAAAAAAAAATGAAAAGTGAAAAAAAAAATATTTGGGGTTTACGGGCTTCCTGAATGTAATACCCGGGTATTAGATTTTAAGGCCAGGGAAAGGTTTAAGTTTTTTGGCGTTAGGGTTAAAATCACTGTCCAAAACCTTTGTAGGAACTCTTTTCCAACCTTTTGGAGTTAGTTAGACCAAAAAAAAAAGAAAAATGAAAAAAAAATATTTGGGGTGTTCAGGCTTCCTAAAAGTAATACCCGGGTATTAGGTCATGGGGCTATGGTAAGGTTTAAGGTTTTTGGCGTTAGGGTTAAAATCACTGTCCAAAACCTTTGTAGGAACTCTTTTTCAACCTTTTGGAGTTAGTTAGACCAAAAAAAAAATGAAAAATGAAAAAAAAATATTTGGGGTTTACGGGCTTCCTGAATGTAATACCCGGGTATTAGGTTATGGGGCTATGGTAAGGTTTAAGGTTTTTGGCGTTAGGGTTGAAATCACTGTCCAAAACCTTTGTAGGAACTCTTTTTCAACCTTTTGGAGTTAGTTAGACCAAAATAAAAATGAAAAATGAAAAAAAAAATATTTGGGGTTTACGGGCTTCATGAATGTAATACCCGGGTATTAGATTTTAAGGCCAGGGTAAGGTTTAAGTTTTTTGGCGTTAGGGTTAAAATCACTGTCCAAAACCTTTGTAGGAACTCTTTTCCAACCTTTTGGAGTTAGTTAGACCAAAAAAAAAAGAAAAATGAAAAAAAAATATTTGGGGTGTTCAGGCTTCCTAAAAGTAATACCTGGGTATTAGGTTATAGGGCTATGGTAAGGTTTAAGTTTTTTGGCGTTAGGGTTAAAATCACTGTCCAAAACCTTTGTAGGAACTCTTTTCCAACCTTTTGGAGTTGGTTACAACAAAAAAAATGTAAAATGAAAAAAAAAAATATTTGGGGTGTTCGGGCTTCCTGAAAGTAATACCCGGGTATTAGATTTTAAGGCCAGGGTAAGGTTTAAGTTTTTTGGCGTTAGGGTTAAAATCACTGTCCAAAACCTTTGTAGGAACTCTTTTCCAACCTTTTGGAGTTAGTTAGACCAAAAAAAAAAGAAAAATGAAAAAAAAATATTTGGGGTGTTCAGGCTTCCTAAAAGTAATACCCGGGTATTAGGTTATGGGGCTATGGTAAGGTTTAAGTTTTTTGGCGTTAGGGTTAAAATCACTGTCCAAAACCTTTGTAGGAACTCTTTTCCAACCTTTTGGAGTTAGTTAGACCAAAAAATATGAAAAAAGAAAAAAATATTATTGGGGGTTTTCGGGCTTCCTGAAAGTAATACCCGGGTATTAGGTTTTGGGGCTATGGTAAGGTTTAAGGTTTTTGGCGTTAGGGTTAAAATCACTGTCCAAAACCTTTGTAGGAACTCTTTTCCAACCTTTTGGAGTTAGTTAGACCAAAAAATATGAAAAAAGAAAAAAATATTATTGGGGGTTTTCGGGCTCCCTGAAAGTAATACCCGGGTATTAGGTTATGGGGCTATGGTAAGGTTTAAGTTTTTTGGCGTTAGGGTTAAAATCACTGTCCAAAACCTTTGTAGGAACTCTTTTCCAACCTTTTGGAGTTAGTTAGACCAAAAAAAAAAGAAAAATGAAAAAAAAATATTTGGGGTTTACGGGCTTCCTGATTGTAATACCCGGGTATTAGATTTTAAGGCCAGGGAAAGGTTTAAGTTTTTTGGCGTTAGGGTTAAAATCACTGTCCAAAACCTTTGTAGGAACTCTTTTCCAACCTTTTGGAGTTAGTTAGACCAAAAAGTATGAAAAAAGAAAAAAATATTATTGGGGTTTTCGGGCTCCTGAAAGTAATACCCGGGTATTAGGTTTTGGGGCTATGGTAAGGTTTAAGTTTTTTGGCGTTAGGTTTAAAATCACTGTCCAAAACCTTTGTAGGAACTCTTTTCCAACCTTTTGGAGTTAGTTAGACCAAAAAAAAAAGAAAAATGAAAAAAAAAATATTTGGGGTGTTCAGGCTTCCTAAAAGTAATACCCGGGTATTAGGTTATGGGGCTATGGTAAGGTTTAAGGTTTTTGGCGTTAGGGTTAAAATCACTGTCCAAAACCTTTGTAGGAACTCTTTTCCAACCTTTTGGAGTTAGTTAGACCAAAAAATATGAAAAAAAGAAAAAAATATTATTGGGGGTTTTCGGGCTCCCTTAAAGTAATACCCGGGTATTAGGTTTTGGGGCTATGGTAAGGTTTAAGTTTTTTGGCGTTAGGGTTAAAATCACTGTCCAAAACCTTTGTAGGAACTCTTTTCCAACCTTTTGGAGTTAGTTAGACCAAAAAAAAATGAAAAATGAAAAAACAATATTTGGGGTTTTCGGGGTTCCTGAATGTAATACCCGGGTATTAGATTTTAAGGCTAGGGTAAGGTTTAAGTTTTTTGGCATTAGGGTTCAAATCACTGTCCAAAACCTTTGTAGGAACTCTTTTCCAACCTTTTGGAGTTAGTTAGACCAAAAAGTATGAAAAAAGAAAAAAATATTATTGGGGGTTTTCGGGCTCCCTGAAAGTAATACCCGGGTATTAGGTTTTGGGGCTATGGTAAGGTTTAAGTTTTTTGGCGTTAGGGTTAAAATCACTGTCCAAAACCTTTGTAGGAACTCTTTTCCAACCTTTTGGAGTTAGTTAGACCAAAAAATATGAAAAAAGAAAAAAATATTATTGGGGGTTTTCGGGCTCCCTGAAAGTAATACCCGGGTATTAGGTTTTGGGGCTATGGTAAGGTTTAAGGTTTTTGGCATAAGGGTTAAAATCCCTGTCCAAAACCTTTGTAGGAACACTTTTCCAACCTTTTGGAATTAGATAAACCAAAAAAATATGAAAAATGAAAAAATATATATTTGGGGTTTCCGGGCTTCCTGAATGTAATACCCGGGTATTAGATTTTAAGGCTAGGGTAAGGTTTAAGTTTTTTGGCGTTAGGGTTAAAATCACTGTCCAAAACCTTTGTAGGAACTCTTTTCCAACCTTTTGGAGTTAGTTAGACCAAAAAATATGAAAAAAGAAAAAAATATTATTGGGGGTTTTCGGGCTCCCTGAAAGTAATACCCGGGTATTAGGTTTTGGGGCTATGGTAAGGTTTAAGGTTTTTGGCGTTAGGGTTAAAATCACTGTCCAAAACCTTTGTAGGAACTCTTTTCCAACCTTTTGGAGTTAGTTAGACCAAAAAAAAATGAAAAATGAAAAAATATATATTTGGGGTTTCCGGGCTTCCTGAATGTAATACCCGGGTATTAGATTTTAAGGCTAGGGTAAGGTTTAAGTTTTTTGGCATCAGGGTTAAAATCACTGTCCAAAACCTTTGTAGGAACTCTTTTCCAACCTTTTGGAGTTAGTTAGACCAAAAAGTATGAAAAAAGAAAAAAATATTATTGGGGGTTTTCGGGCTCCCTGAAAGTAATACCCGGGTATTAGGTTTTGGGGCTATGGTAAGGTTTAAGTTTTTTGGCGTTAGGGTTAAAATCACTGTCCAAAACCTTTGTAGGAACTCTTTTCCAACCTTTTGGAGTTAGTTAGACCAAAAAATATGAAAAAAGAAAAAAATATTATTGGGGGTTTTCGGGCTCCCTGAAAGTAATACCCGGGTATTAGGTTTTGGGGCTATGGTAAGGTTTAAGTTTTTTGGCGTTAGGGTTAAAATCACTGTCCAAAACCTTTGTAGGAACTCTTTTCCAACCTTTTGGAGTTAGTTAGACCAAAAAAAAAGAAAAATTAAAAAACAATATTTGGGGTTTTCGGGGTTCCTGAATGTAATACCCGGGTATTAGGTTTTAAGGCTAGGGTAAGGTTTAAGTTTTTTGGCATTAGGGTTAAAATCACTGTCCAAAACCTTTGTAGGAACTCTTTTCCAACCTTTTGGAGTTAGTTAGACCAAAAAAAAAATGAAAAATGAAAAAACAATATTTGGGGTTTTCGGGGTTCCTGAATGTAATACCCGGGTATTAGATTTTAAGGCTAGGGTAAGGTTTAAGTTTTTTGGCATCAGGGTTAAAATCACTGTCCAAAACCTTTGTAGGAACTCTTTTCCAACCTTTTGGAGTTAGTTAGACCAAAAAAAATATGAAAAAAGAAAAAAATATTATTGGGGGTTTTCGGGCTCCCTGAAAGTAATACCCGGGTATTAGGTCATGGGGCTATGGTAAGGTTTAAGTTTTTTGGCGTTAGGGTTAAAATCACTGTCCAAAACCTTTGTAGGAACTCTTTTCCAACCTTTTGGAGTTAGTTAGACCAAAAAAAAAAAAGAAAAATGAAAAAAAAATATTTGGGGTTTACGGGCTTCCTGAATTGTAATACCCGGGTATTAGATTTTAAGGCCAGGGAAAGGTTTAAGTTTTTTGGCGTTAGGGTTAAAATCACTGTCCAAAACCTTTGTAGGAACTCTTTTCCAACCTTTTGGAGTTAGTTAGACCAACAAAAATGTAAAATGAAGAAAAAAATATTTGGGGTGTTCAGGCTTCCTGAAGGTAATACCCGGGTATTAGATTTCAAGGCTAGGGTAAGGTTTAAGGTTTTTGGCGTTAGGGTTAAAATCACTGTCCAAAACCTTTGTAGGAACTCTTTTCCAACCTTTTGGAGTTAGTTAGACCAAAAAAAAAAAGAAAAATGAAAAAAAAATATTTGGGGTGTTCAGGCTTCCTAAAAGTAATACCCGGGTATTAGGTTATGGGGCTATGGTAAGGTTTAAAGTTTTGGCGTAAGGGTTTAAAATCACTGTCCAAAACCTTTGTAGGAACTCTTTTCCAACCTTTTGGAGTTAGTTAGACCAAAAAAAATGAAAAATTAAAAAAAATATATTTGGGGTGTTCAGGCTTCCTAAAAGTAATACCCGGGTATTAGGTTATGGGGCTATGGTAAGGTTTAAGGTTTTTGGCGTTAGGGTTAAAATCACTGTCCAAAACCTTTGTAGGAACTCTTTTTCAACCTTTTGGAGTTAGTTAGACCAAAAAAAAAAAAAGAAAAATGAAAAAAAAAATATTTGGGGTTTACGGGCTTCCTGAATGTAATACCCGGGTATTAGATTATGGGGCTATGGTAAGGTTTAAGTTTTTTGGCGTTAGGGTTAAAATCACTGTCCAAAACCTTTGTAGGAACTCTTTTCCAACCTTTTGGAGTTAGTTAGACCAAAAAAAAAAAGAAAAATGAAAAAAAAATATTTGGGGTGTTCAGGCTTCCTAAAAGTAATACCCGGGTATTAGGTTATGGGGCTATGGTAAGGTTTAACGTTTTGGCGTTAGGTTTAAAATCACTGTCCAAAACCTTTGTAGGAACTCTTTTTCAACCTTTTGGAGTTAGTTAGACCAAAAAATATGAAAAAAGAAAAAAAAATATTTGGGGGTTTTCGGGCTTCCTGAATGTAATACCCGGGTATTAGATTTTAAGGCCAGGGTAAGGTTTAAGTTTTTTGGCGTTAGGGTTAAAATCACTGTCCAAAACCTTTGTAGGAACTCTTTTCCAACCTTTTGGAGTTAGTTAGACCAAAAAGTATGAAAAAAGAAAAAAATATTATTGGGGGTTTTCGGGCTTCCTGAAAGTAATACCCGGGTATTAGGTTTTGGGGCTATGGTAAGGTTTAAGTTTTTTGGCGTTAGGGTTAAAATCACTGTCCAAAACCTTTGTAGGAACTCTTTTCCAACCTTTTGGAGTTAGTTAGACCAAAAAAAAAAAGAAAAATGAAAAAAAAATATTTGGGGTGTTCAGGCTTCCTAAAAGTAATACGTATTAGGTTATGGGGCTATGGTAAGGTTTAAGGTTTTTGGCGTTAGGGTTAAAATCACTGTCCAAAACCTTTGTAGGAACTCTTTTTCAACCTTTTGGAGTTAGTTAGACCAAAAAAAAAATGAAAAATGAAAAAAAAAATATTTGGGGTTTACGGGCTTCCTGAATGTAATACCCGGGTATTAGATTTTAAGGCCAGGGAAAGGTTTAAGTTTTTTGGCGTTAGGGTTAAAATCACTGTCCAAAACCTTTGTAGGAACTCTTTTCCAACCTTTTGGAGTTAGTTAGACCAAAAAATATGAAAAAAGAAAAAAATATTATTGGGGGTTTTCGGGCTCCCTGAAAGTAATACCCGGGTATTAGGTTTTGGGGCTATGGTAAGGTTTAAGTTTTTTGGCGTCAGGGTTAAAATCACTGTCCAAAACCTTTGTAGGAACTCTTTTCCAACCTTTTGGAGTTAGTTAGAACAAAAAATATGAAAAAAAAAAAAAATATTATTGGGGGTTTTCGGGCTCCCTGAAAGTAATACCCGGGTATTAGGTTTTGGGGCTATGGTAAGGTTTAAGTTTTTTGGCGTTAGGGTTAAAATCACTGTCCAAAACCTTTGTAGGAACTCTTTTCCAACCTTTTGGAGTTAGACCAAAAAAAAAATGAAAAATGAAAAAACAATATTTGGGGTTTACGGGCTTCCTGAATGTAATACCCGGGTATTAGATTTTAAGGCTAGGGTAAGGTTTAAGTTTCTTGGCATTAGGGTTAAAATCACTGTCCAAAACCTTTGTAGGAACTCTTTTCCAACCTTTTGGAGTTAGTTACACCAGAAAGTATGAAAAAAGAAAAAAATATTATTGGGGGTTTTCCGTCTCCCTGAAAGTAATACCCGGGTATTAGGTTTTGGGGCTAGGGTAAGGTTTAAGTTTTTTGGCGTTAGGGTTAAAATCACTGTCCAAAACCTTTGTAGGAACTCTTTTCCAACCTTTTGGAGATAGTTAGACCAAAAAAAAATGAAAAATTAAAAAAAATATTTGGGGTTTTCGGGGTTCCTGAATGTAATACCCGGGTATTAGATTTTGAGGCTAGGGTAAGGTTTAAGTTTTTTGGCATTAGGGTTAAAATCACTGTCCAAAACCTTTGTAGGAACTCTTTTCCAACCTTTTGGAGTTGGTTACACCAACAAAAATGTAAAATGAAGAAAAAAATATTTGGGGTGTTCAGGCTTCCTGAAGGTAATACCCGGGTATTAGATTTCAAGGCTAGGGTAAGGTTTAAGGTTTTTGGCGTTAGGGTTAAAATCACTGTCCAAAACCTTTGTAGGAACTCTTTTCCAACCTTTTGGAGTTAGTTAGACCAAAAAATATGAAAAAAGAAAAAAATATTATTGGGGGTTTTTGGGCTCCCTGAAAGTAATACCCATGTATTAGGTTTTGGGACTAGGGAAAGGTTTAAGGGTTTTGGCATTAGGGTTAAAATCACTGTCCAAAACCTTTGTAGGAACTCTTTTCCAACCTTTTGGAGTTAGTTAGACCAAAAAAAAAAGAAAAATGAAAAAAAAATATTTGGGGTGTTCAGGCTTCCTAAAAGTAATACCCGGGTATTAGGTTATGGGGCTATGGTAAGGTTTAACGTTTTGGCGTTAGGTTTAAAATCACTGTCCAAAACCTTTGTAGGAACTCTTTTTCAACCTTTTGGAGTTAGTTAGACCAGAAAAAAAAATGAAAAATGAAAAAAAAAATATTTGGGGTTTACGGGCTTCCTGAATGTAATACCCGGGTATTAGGTTATGGGGCTATGGTAAGGTTTAAGGTTTTTGGCGTTAGGGTTAAAATCACTGTCCAAAACCTTTGTAGGAACTCTTTTTCAACCTTTTAGAGTTAGTTAGACAAAAAAAAAAAATATGAAAAATGAAAAAAAAACTATTTGGGGTTAACGGGCTTCCTGAATGTAATACCCGGGTATTAGATTTTAAGGCCAGGGAAAGGTTTAAGTTTTTTGGCGTTAGGGTTAAAATCACTGTCCAAAACCTTTGTAGGAACTCTTTTCCAACCTTTTGGAGTTAGTTAGACCAAAAAAAAAAAGAAAAATGAAAAAAAAATATTTGGGGTGTTCAGGCTTCCTAAAAGTAATACGTATTAGGTTATGGGGCTATGGTAAGGTTTAACGTTTTGGCGTTAGGGTTAAAATCACTGTCCAAAACCTTTGTAGGAACTCTTTTTCAACCTTTTGGAGTTAGTTAGACCAGAAAAAAAAATGAAAAATGAAAAAAAAAATATTTGGGGTTTACGGGCTTCCTGAATGTAATACCCGGGTATTAGATTTTAAGGCCAGGGTAAGGTTTAAGTTTTTTGGCGTTAGGGTTAAAATCACTGTCCAAAACCTTTGTAGGAACTCTTTTCCAACCTTTTGGAGTTAGTTAGACCAAAAAATATGAAAAAAGAAAAAAATATTATTGGGGGTTTTCGGGCTCCCTGAAAGTAATACCCGGGTATTAGGTTTTGGGGCTATGGTAAGGTTTAACGTTTTTTGGCGTTAGGGTTAAAATCACTGTCCAAAACCTTTGTAGGAACTCTTTTCCAACCTTTTGGAGTTAGTTAGACCAAAAAATATGAAAAAAGAAAAAAATATTATTGGGGGTTTTCGGGCTTCCTGAAGGTAATACCCAGGTATTAGGTTTTGGGACTGGGGAAAGGTTTAAGGTTTTTGGCATAAGGGTTAAAATCCCTGTCCAAAACCTTTGTAGGAACACTTTTCCAACCTTTTGGAATTAGATAAACCAAAAAAAAATGAAAAATTAAAAAATATATATTTGGGGTTTTCGGGCTTCCTGAATGTAATACCCGGGTATTAGATTTTAAGGCTAGGGTAAGGTTTAAGTTTTTTGGCGTTAGGGTTAAAATCACTGTCCAAAACCTTTGTAGGAACTCTTTTCCAACCTTTTGGAGTTAGTTAGACCAAAAAATATGAAAAAAGAAAAAAATATTATTGGGGGTTTTCGGGCTTCCTGAAGGTAATACCCAGGTATTAGGTTTTGGGACTGGGGAAAGGTTTAAGGTTTTTGGCGTTAGGGTTAAAATCACTGTCCAAAACCTTTGTAGGAACTCTTTTCCAACCTTTTGGAGTTAGTTAGACCAAAAAAAAATGAAAAATTAAAAAACAATATTTGGGGTTTTCGGGCTTCCTGAATGTAATACCCGGGTATTAGATTTTAAGGCTAGGGTAAGGTTTAAGTTTTTTGGCGTTAGGGTTAAAATCACTGTCCAAAACCTTTGTAGGAACTCTTTTCCAACCTTTTGGAGTTAGTTAGACCAAAAATATGAAAAAGAAAAAAAAAATATTTGGGGTGTTCGGGCTTCCTGAAGGTAATACCCGGGTATTAGATTTTAAGGCTAGGGTAAGGTTTAAGGTTTTTGGCGTTAGGGTTAAAGTCACTGTCCAAAACCTTTGTAGGAACTCTTTTCCAAACTTTTGGAGTTAGACCAAAAAAAAAGAAAAATGAAAAAAAAATATTTGGGGTGTTCAGGCTTCCTAAAAGTAATACCCGGGTATTAGGTTATGGGGCTATGGTAAGGTTTAAGGTTTTTGGCGTTAGGGTTAAAATCACTGTCCAAAACCTTTGTAGGAACTCTTTTCCAACCTTTTGGAGTTAGTTAGACCAAAAAAAATGAAAAATGAAGAAAAAAATATTTGGGGTGTTCAGGCTTCCTAGAAGTAATACCCGGGTATTAGGTTATGGGGCTATGGTAAGGTTTAAGGATTTTGGCGTTAGGGTTAAAATCACTGTCCAAAACCTTTGTAGGAACTCTTTTCCAACCTTTTGGAGTTAGTTAGACCAAAAAAAATGAAAAATGAAAAAAAAAAATATTGGGGTTTTTCGGGCTTCCTAAAAGTAATACCCGGGTATTAGGTTATGGGGCTATGGTAAGGTTTAAGGTTTTTGGCGTTAGGGTTAAAATCACTGTCCAAAACCTTTGTAGGAACTCTTTTTCAACCTTTTGGAGTTAGTTAGACCAAAAAGTATGAAAAAAGAAAAAAATATTATTGGGGTTTTTCGGGCTCCCTGAAAGTAATACCCGGGTATTAGGTTTTGGGGCTATGGTAAGGTTTAAGTTTTTTGGCGTTAGGGTTAAAATCACTGTCCAAAACCTTTGTAGGAACTCTTTTCCAACCTTTTGGAGTTAGTTAGACCAAAAAAAAATGAAAAATTAAAAAACAATATTTGGGGTGTTCGGGCTTCCTGAATGTAATACCCGGGTATTAGATTTTGAGGCTAGGGTAAGGTTTAAGTTTTTTGGCATTAGGGTTAAAATCACTGTCCAAAACCTTTGTAGGAACTCTTTTCCAACCTTTTGGAGTTAGTTAGACCAAAAAATATGAAAAAAGAAAAAATATTATTGGGGGTTTTCGGGCTCCCTGAAAGTAATACCCGGGTATTAGGTTTTGGGGCTATGGTAAGGTTTAAGTTTTTTGGCGTTAGGGTTAAAATCACTGTCCAAAACCTTTGTAGGAACTCTTTTCCAACCTTTTGGAGTTAGTTAGACCAAAAAGTATGAAAAAAGAAAAAAATATTATTGGGGGTTTTCGGGCTCCTGAAAGTAATACCCGGGTATTAGGTTTTGGGGCTATGGTAAGGTTTAAGTTTTTTGGCGTTAGGGTTAAAATCACTGTCCAAAACCTTTGTAGGAACTCTTTTCCAACCTTTTGGAGTTAGTTAGACCAAAAAATATGAAAAAAGAAAAAAATATTATTGGGGGTTTTCGGGCTCCCTGAAAGTAATACCCGGGAATTAGGTTTTGGGGCTATGGTAAGGTTTAAGTTTTTTGGCGTTAGGGTTAAAATCACTGTCCAAAACCTTTGTAGGAACTCTTTTCCAACCTTTTGGAGTTAGTTAGACCAAAAAAAAAAAAGAAAAATGAAAAAAAAATATTTGGGGTGTTCAGGCTTCCTAAAAGTAATACCTGGGTATTAGGTTATAGGGCTATGGTAAGGTTTAAGGTTTTTGGCGTTAGGGTTAAAATCACTGTCCAAAACCTTTGTAGGAACTCTTTTCCAACCTTTTGGAGTTGGTTACACCAAAAAAAATGTAAAATGAAAAAAAAAAATATTTGGGGTGTTCGGGCTTCCTGAATGTAATACCCGGGTATTAGATTTTAAGGCTAGGGTAAGGTTTAAGTTTTTTGGCATTAGGGTTAAAATCACTGTCCAAAACCTTTGTAGGAACTCTTTTCCAACCTTTTGGAGTTAGTTAGACCAAAAAAAAAAGAAAAATGAAAAAAAAATATTTGGGGTGTTCAGGCTTCCTAAAAGTAATACCCGGGTATTAGGTTATGGGGCTATGGTAAGGTTTAAGTTTTTTGGCGTTAGGGTTAAAATCACTGTCCAAAACCTTTGTAGGAACTCTTTTCCAACCTTTTGGAGTTAGTTAGACCAAAAAAAAAATGAAAAATGAAAAAAAAAATATTTGGGGTTTACGGGCTTCCTGAATGTAATACCCGGGTATTAGATTTTAAGGCTAGGGAAAGGTTTAAGTTTTTTGGCGTTAGGGTTAAAATCACTGTCCAAAACCTTTGTAGGAACTCTTTTCCAACCTTTTGGAGTTAGTTAGACCAAAAAATATGAAAAAAGAAAAAAATATTATTGGGGGTTTTCGGGCTCCCTGAAAGTAATACCCGGGTATTAGGTTTTGGGGCTATGGTAAGGTTTAAGTTTTTTGGCGTTAGGGTTAAAATCACTGTCCAAAACCTTTGTAGGAACTCTTTTCCAACCTTTTGGAGTTAGTAAGACCAAAAAATATAAAAAAAGAAAAAAATATTATTGGGGGTGTTCAGGCTTCCTAAAAGTAATACCCGGGTATTAGGTTATGGGGCTATGGTAAGGTTTAACGTTTTGGCGTTAGGTTTAAAATCACTGTCCAAAACCTTTGTAGGAACTCTTTTCCAACCTTTTGGATTTAGTTAGACCAAAAAAAAAAAGAAAAATTAAAAAAAATATATTTGGGGTGTTCAGGCTTCCTAAAAGTAATACCCGGGTATTAGGTTATGGGGCTATGGTAAGGTTTAAGGTTTTTGGCGTTAGGGTTAAAATCACTGTCCAAAACCTTTGTAGGAACTCTTTTCCAACCTTTTGGAGTTAGTTAGACCAAAAAAAAAATGAAAAATGAAAAAAAAAATATTTGGGGTTTACGGGCTTCCTGAATGTAATACCCGGGTATTAGATTTTAAGGCCAGGGAAAGGTTTAAGTTTTTTGGCGTTAGGGTTAAAATCACTGTCCAAATCCTTTGTAGGAACTCTTTTCCAACCTTTTGGAGTTAGTTAGACCAAAAAAAAAAATGAAAAGTGAAAAAAAAAATATTTGGGGTTTACGGGCTTCCTGAATGTAATACCCGGGTATTAGATTTTAAGGCCAGGGAAAGGTTTAAGTTTTTGGCGTTAGGGTTAAAATCACTGTCCAAAACCTTTGTAGGAACTCTTTTCCAACCTTTTGGAGTTAGTTAGACCAAAAAAAAAAAGAAAAATGAAAAAAAAATATTTGGGGTGTTCAGGCTTCCTAAAAGTAATACCCGGGTATTAGGTTCATGGGGCTATGGTAAGGTTTAAGGTTTTTGGCGTTAGGGTTAAAATCACTGTCCAAAACCTTTGTAGGAACTCTTTTTCAACCTTTTGGAGTTAGTTAGACCAAAAAAAAAATGAAAAATGAAAAAAAAAATATTTGGGGTTTACGGGCTTCCTGAATGTAATACCCGGGTATTAGGTTATGGGGCTATGGTAAGGTTTAAGGTTTTTGGCGTTAGGGTTAAAATCACTGTCCAAAACCTTTGTAGGAACTCTTTTCCAACCTTTTGGAGTTAGTTAGACCAAAATAAAAATGAAAAATGAAAAAAAAAATATTTGGGGTTTACGGGCTTCATGAATGTAATACCCGGGTATTAGATTTTAAGGCCAGGGTAAGGTTTAAGTTTTTTGGCGTTAGGGTTAAAATCACTGTCCAAAACCTTTGTAGGAACTCTTTTCCAACCTTTTGGAGTTAGTTAGACCAAAAAAAAAAAAGAAAAATGAAAAAAAAATATTTGGGGTGTTCAGGCTTCCTAAAAGTAATACCTGGGTATTAGGTTATAGGGCTATGGTAAGGTTTAAGGTTTTTGGCGTTAGGGTTAAAATCACTGTCCAAAACCTTTGTAGGAACTCTTTTCCAACCTTTTGGAGTTGGTTACAACAAAAAAAATGTAAAATGAAAAAAAAATATATTTGGGGTGTTCGGGCTTCCTGAATGTAATACCCGGGTATTAGATTTTAAGGCTAGGGTAAGGTTTAAGTTTTTTGGCGTTAGGGTTAAAATCACTGTCCAAAACCTTTGTAGGAACTCTTTTCCAACCTTTTGGAGTTAGTTAGACCAAAAAAAAAAGAAAAATGAAAAAAAAATATTTGGGGTGTTCAGGCTTCCTGAAAGTAATACCCAGGTATTAGGTTATGGGGCTATAGTAAGGTTTAAGTTTTTTGGCGTTAGGGTTAAAATCACTGTCCAAAACCTTTGTAGGAACTCTTTTCCAACCTTTTGGAGTTAGTTAGACCAAAAAATATGAAAAAAGAAAAAAAAATATTTGGGGGTTTTCGGGCTCCTGAAAGTAATACCCGGGTATTAGGTTTTGGGGCTATGGTAAGGTTTAAGGTTTTTGGCGTTAGGGTTAAAATCACTGTCCAAAACCTTTGTAGGAACTCTTTTCCAACCTTTTGGAGTTAGTTAGACCAAAAAATATGAAAAAAGAAAAAAATATTATTGGGGGTTTTCGGGCTCCCTGAAAGTAATACCCGGGTATTAGGTTTTGGGGCTATGGTAAGGTTTAAGTTTTTTGGCGTTAGGGTTAAAATCACTGTCCAAAACCTTTGTAGGAACTCTTTTCCAACCTTTTGGAGTTAGTTAGACCAAAAAAAAATGAAAAATGAAAAAACAATATTTGGGGTTTTCTGGGTTCCTGAATGTAATACCCGGGTATTAGATTTTAAGGCTAGGGTAAGGTTTAAGTTTTTTGGCATTAGGGTTAAAATCACTGTCCAAAACTTTTGTAGGAACTCTTTTCCAACCTTTTGGAGTTAGTTAGACCAAAAAGTATGAAAAAAGAAAAAAATATTATTGGGGGTTTTCGGGCTCCCTGAAAGTAATACCCGGGTATTAGGTTTTGGGGCTATGGTAAGGTTTAAGTTTTTTGGCGTTAGGGTTAAAATCACTGTCCAAAACCTTTGTAGGAACTCTTTTCCAACCTTTTGGAGTTAGTTAGACCAAAAAATATGAAAAAAGAAAAAAATATTATTGGGGGTGTTCAGGCTTCTTAAAAGTAATACCCGGGTATTAGGTTATGGGGCTATGGTAAGGTTTAACGTTTTGGCGTTACGTTTAAAATCACTGTCCAAAACCTTTGTAGGAACTCTTTAACAACCTTTTGGATTTAGTAAGACCAAAAAAAAATGAAAAATGAAAAAAAATATATTTGGGGTTTACGGGCTTCTTGAATGTAATACCCGGGTATTAGATTTTAAGGCCAGGGAAAGGTTTAAGTTTTTTGGCGTTAGGGTTAAAATCACTGTCCAAAACCTTTGTAGGAACTCTTTTCCAACCTTTTGGAGTTAGTTAGACCAAAAAATATGAAAAAAGAAAAAAATATTATTGGGGGTTTTCGGGCTCCCTGAAAGTAATACCCGGGTATTAGGTTTTGGGGCTATGGTAAGGTTTAAGTTTTTTGGCGTTAGGGTTAAAATCACTGTCCAAAACCTTTGTAGGAACTCTTTTCCAACCTTTTGGAGTTAGTTAGACCAAAAAATATGAAAAAAGAAAAAAATATTATTGGGGGTTTTCGGGCTCCCTGAAAGTAATACCCGGGTATTAGGTTTTGGGGCTATGGTAAGGTTTAAGTTTTTTGGCGTTAGGGTTAAAATCACTGTCCAAAACCTTTGTAGGAACTCTTTTCCAACCTTTTGGAGTTAGTTAGACCAAAAAAAAAAAGAAAAATGAAAAAAAATATATTTGGGGTGTTCAGGCTTCCTAAAAGTAATACCCGGGTATTAGGTCATGGGGCTATGGTAAGGTTTAAGGTTTTTGGCGTTAGGGTTAAAATCACTGTCCAAAACCTTTGTAGGAACTCTTTTTCAACCTTTTGGAGTTAGTTAGACCAAAAAAAAAATGAAAAATGAAAAAAAATATTTGGGGTTTCGGGCTTCCTGAATGTAATACCCGGGTATTAGATTTTAAGGCCAGGGAAAGGTTTAAGTTTTTTGGCGTTAGGGTTAAAATCACTGTCCAAAACCTTTGTAGGAACTCTTTTCCAACCTTTTGGAGTTAGTTAGACCAAAAAATATGAAAAAAGAAAAAAATATTATTGGGGGTTTTCGGGCTCCCTGAAAGTAATACCCGGGTATTAGGTTTTGGGGCTATGGTAAGGTTTAAGTTTTTTGGCGTTAGGGTTAAAATCACTGTCCAAAACCTTTGTAGGAACTCTTTTCCAACCTTTTGGAGTTAGTTAGACCAAAAAATATGAAAAAAGAAAAAAATATTATTGGGGGTGTTCAGGCTTCCTAAAAGTAATACCCGGGTATTAGGTTATGGGGCTATGGTAAGGTTTAAGGTTTTTGGCGTTAGGTTTAAAATCACTGTCCAAAACCTTTGTAGGAACTCTTTTCCAACCTTTTGGAGTTAGTTAGACCAAAAAAAAAATGAAAAATGAAAAAAAAATATTTGGGGTTTACGGGCTTCCTGAATGTAATACCCGGGTATTAGATTTTAAGGCTAGGGTAAGGTTTAAGTTTTTTGGCATTAGGGTTAAAATCACTGTCCAAAACCTTTGTAGGAACTCTTTTCCAACCTTTTGGAGTTAGTTAGACCAAAAAAAATGTAAAATGAAAAAAAAAATATTTGGGGTGTTCGGGCTTCCTGAATGTAATACCCGGGTATTAGATTTTAAGGCTAGGGTAAGGTTTAAGTTTTTTGGCGTTAGGGTTAAAATCACTGTCCAAAACCTTTGTAGGAACTCTTTTCCAACCTTTTGGAGTTAGTTAGACCAAAAAAAAAAGAAAAATGAAAAAAAAATATTTGGGGTGTTCAGGCTTCCTAAAGTAATACCCAGGTATTAGGTTTTGGGACTATGGAAAGGTTTAAGTTTTTTGGCGTTAGGGTTAAAATCACTGTCCAAAACCTTTGTAGGAACTCTTTTCCAACCTTTTGGAGTTAGTTAGACCAAAAAATATGAAAAATGAAAAAAAAATATTTGGGGTGTTCAGGCTTCCTAAAAGTAATACCCGGGTATTAGGTTATGGGGCTATGGTAAGGTTTAAGGTTTTTGGCGTTAGGGTTAAAATCACTGTCCAAAACCTTTGTAGGAACTCTTTTCCAACCTTTTGGAGTTAGTTAGACCAAAAAAAATGAAAAATTAAAAAAAATATATTTGGGGTGTTCAGGCTTCCTGAAAGTAATACCCGGGTATTAGGTTATGGGGCTATGGTAAGGTTTAAGGTTTTTGGCGTTAGGGTTAAAATCACTGTCCAAAACCTTTGTAGGAACTCTTTTCCAACCTTTTGGAGTTAGTTAGACCAAAAAAATGAAAAATGAAAAAAAAAATATTTGGGGTTTACGGGCTTCCTGATTGTAATACCCGGGTATTAGATTTTAAGGCTAGGGTAAGGTTTAAGTTTTTTGGCATTAGGGTTAAAATCACTGTCCAAAACCTTTGTAGGAACTCTTTTCCAACCTTTTGGAGTTAGTTAGACCAAAAAAAAAAAAAGAAAAATGAAAAAAAAATATTTGGGGTGTTCAGGCTTCCTAAAAGTAATACCCGGGTATTAGGTTATGGGGCTATGGTAAGGTTTAAGTTTTTTGGCGTTAGGGTTAAAATCACTGTCCAAAACCTTTGTAGGAACTCTTTTCCAACCTTTTGGAGTTAGTTAGACCAAAAAATATGAAAAAAGAAAAAAATATTATTGGGGGTTTTCGGGCTCCCTGAAAGTAATACCCGGGTATTAGGTTTTGGGGCTATGGTAAGGTTTAAGTTTTTTGGCGTTAGGGTTAAAATCACTGTCCAAAACCTTTGTAGGAACTCTTTTCCAACCTTTTGGAGTTAGTTAGACCAAAAAATATGAAAAAAGAAAAAAATATTATTGGGGGTTTTCGGGCTCCCTGAAAGTAATACCCGGGTATTAGGTTTTGGGGCTATGGTAAGGTTTAAGTTTTTTGGCGTTAGGGTTAAAATCACTGTCCAAAACCTTTGTAGGAACTCTTTTCCAACCTTTTGGAGTTAGTTAGACCAAAAAAAAATGAAAAATGAAAAAACAATATTTGGGGTTTTCTGGGTTCCTGAATGTAATACCCGGGTATTAGATTTTAAGGCTAGGGTAAGGTTTAAGTTTTTTGGCATTAGGGTTAAAATCACTGTCCAAAACTTTTGTAGGAACTCTTTTCCAACCTTTTGGAGTTAGTTAGACCAAAAAGTATGAAAAAAGAAAAAATATTATTGGGGGTTTTCGGGCTCCCTGAAAGTAATACCCGGGTATTAGGTTTTGGGGCTATGGTAAGGTTTAAGTTTTTTGGCGTTAGGGTTAAAATCACTGTCCAAAACCTTTGTAGGAACTCTTTTCCAACCTTTTGGAGTTAGTTAGACCAAAAAATATGAAAAAAGAAAAAAATATTATTGGGGGTTTTTCGGGCTCCCTGAAAGTAATACCCGGGTATTAGGTTTTGGGGCTATGGTAAGGTTTAAGTTTTTTGGCGTTAGGGTTAAAATCACTGTCCAAAACCTTTGTAGGAACTCTTTTCCAACCTTTTGGAGTTAGTTAGACCAAAAAAAAATGAAAAATGAAAAAACAATATTTGGGGGTTTTCTGGGTTCCTGAATGTAATACCCGGGTATTAGGTTTTGGGGCTATGGTAAGGTTTAAGTTTTTTGGCGTTAGGGTTAAAATCACTGTCCAAAACCTTTGTAGGAACTCTTTTCCAACCTTTTGGAGTTAGTTAGACCAAAAAAAAATGAAAAATGAAAAAACAATATTTGGGGTTTTCTGGGTTCCTGAATGTAATACCCGGGTATTAGATTTTAAGGCTAGGGTAAGGTTTAAGTTTTTTGGCGTTAGGGTTAAAATCACTGTCCAAAACCTTTGTAGGAACTCTTTTCCAACCTTTTGGAGTTAGTTAGACCAAAAAGTATGAAAAAAGAAAAAAATATTATTGGGGGTTTTCGGGCTCCCTGAAAGTAATACCCGGGTATTAGGTTTTGGGGCTATGGTAAGGTTTAAGTTTTTTGGCGTTAGGGTTAAAATCACTGTCCAAAACCTTTGTAGGAACTCTTTTCCAACCTTTTGGAGTTAGTTAGACCAAAAAATATGAAAAAAGAAAAAAATATTATTGGGGGTTTTTCGGGCTCCCTGAAAGTAATACCCGGGTATTAGGTTTTGGGGCTATGGTAAGGTTTAAGTTTTTTGGCGTTAGGGTTAAAATCACTGTCCAAAACCTTTGTAGGAACTCTTTTCCAACCTTTTGGAGTTAGTTAGACCAAAAAATATGAAAAAAGAAAAAAATATTATTGGGGGTGTTCAGGCTTCTTAAAAGTAATACCCGGGTATTAGGTTATGGGGCTATGGTAAGGTTTAACGTTTTGGCGTTACGTTTAAAATCACTGTCCAAAACCTTTGTAGGAACTCTTTAACAACCTTTTGGATTTAGTAAGACCAAAAAAAAATGAAAAATTAAAAAAAATATATTTGGGGTTTACGGGCTTCTTGAATGTAATACCCGGGTATTAGATTTTAAGGCCAGGGAAAGGTTTAAGTTTTTTGGCGTTAGGGTTAAAATCACTGTCCAAAACCTTTGTAGGAACTCTTTTCCAACCTTTTGGAGTTAGTTAGACCAAAAAATATGAAAAAAGAAAAAAATATTATTGGGGGTTTTCGGGCTCCCTGAAAGTAATACCCGGGTATTAGGTTTTGGGGCTATGGTAAGGTTTAAGTTTTTTGGCGTTAGGGTTAAAATCACTGTCCAAAACCTTTGTAGGAACTCTTTTCCAACCTTTTGGAGTTAGTTAGACCAAAAAATATGAAAAAAGAAAAAAATATTATTGGGGGTTTTCGGGCTCCCTGAAAGTAATACCCGGGTATTAGGTTTTGGGGCTATGGTAAGGTTTAAGTTTTTTGGCGTTAGGGTTAAAATCACTGTCCAAAACCTTTGTAGGAACTCTTTTCCAACCTTTTGGAGTTAGTTAGACCAAAAAAAAAAAGAAAAATGAAAAAAAATATATTTGGGGTGTTCAGGCTTCCTAAAAGTAATACCCGGGTATTAGGTTATGGGGCTATGGTAAGGTTTAAGTTTTTTGGCGTTAGGGTTAAAATCACTGTCCAAAACCTTTGTAGGAACTCTTTTCCAACCTTTTGGAGTTAGTTAGACCAAAAAAAAATGAAAAATGAAAAAAAAAATATTTGGGGTTTACGGGCTTCCTGAATGTAATACCCGGGTATTAGATTTTAAGGCCAGGGAAAGGTTTAAGTTTTTTGGCG